TTTTTTTTTTTTTTTTCCCTCCTGCCTTTACAGATTTTTCCAGAAAAAATCCGTAAAACAAGAAAATAAATTGGTCTGGCCTAAGGTGGAAATAACATACTATTAACTTTAAAAGGTCGAACAGTCATTTCTAAACCTCAAATGGTCATTATTTATCATGCAATATCTGTGGTTCTTTTTTGCTATCTCTGGGTACTGTTACCTATACACTCATATGAAGGAGCAAACCCGCTAAGCTATCACAATATATAAATTTGAAATTCATAAAATGGCCCCTTGGTATGAATCAAAATAGATGACCTATTATTAGATTTATTTTAATCTTCCTGTTGGGAGTAATATGTCTGTTTACTGTGCGAATAGCCCTATACTATAATAAGGTTTCATTTTCATCAGAGTGGTAAAACCATGAATTGACCAGTAGTTTTAATTCTTGCCCGTACTGTTAAATTTTGGAGCCAGCAGAAACACGAGTTTTTAAATAAGGTACAATATATAATACAATCCTATTAAAATACATGTACATTATCTAAACTTCATTTCGATCTTTTAAACTTTCGATGACCTCCCCTCCATATAGATCTGATGCTATGTCTGGGGTCACAACAGTAAAGTTTAACTGAATGAAGTAAACTATTCATATTGAACTTTTGTTTTTATTCTCTATTGTTCCATATATATGTTAATATATGTTTTTATCAGTGCACACCTCACTAGTGATACATGTAGATGCCATATGCTTTTCAAAACAAGGAGGCTTGCTATTCAGTATTCACTAACATTTTCCAAGATAATTTCCCTTCATTAGCTCAGTTTGTGCAGATTTTTAATTATCAAAGTAGTTTGTTCACAGTGATATTATAAGGGGAACTCAACTGTCATTCACTGCTATGAACATACCGGTAAGTTACAACTGTCTTTGATTCACTGACTTTCAGTTTCATATGTTTCGTGTTTACAGTGAGTAGCTATTATAGTCCATTTATTTACTGTGACTGGCAGTTCCCCTCATAACAGCACAAGCAAACGTGTTACGTCATATTTGTACTTCAGTTTGTGTATTCTTAGAATTTGCTGGATTTTGAATTCCTTGCAAATTACAAAGTTGTGAAAGTTGGATCTCTAAAAGCAGTATCAGTCCAAAATTGTGAAAGTTGGATCTCTAATAGAAGAGAGAGAGAGAGAGAGAAATGGGGTTTAACGTCCACTCAACACAAACTAGGTCATTTCGGGACTAACATATGGTTTAATTTTATTTACATAATTCGCTTGCGTGTAGGGGTCTTTAGCAGTGGGAGGAAACCGGAGGACCCAGAGAAAACCCACGAGGTTGGATCTTTAATAGAAACACCAGAACAGAAATAGTTTAAATCCGTTCTAAATTTACAAAGATAGGATGAATTGAAAATAAGTCAACGTTCAGCATCCTTTGTAGAAGATTTAAATAAACCAGTCAGCGTCACCTATAATTTTAACAAGCCAACAGTGAGGCTGATGTCCCCCGCCGTAATCCCAAAATAAATAGATAACACATAATTAATCGCACATTTATTTTTTTCAAAAGTATCAAGCAATCAAACTGATTATCAACTATACACTAAGTTTTATCACTCTTTATCAGATAGAATCAAAGTTATCTTGTCCCAAAGCATCGACCAATGAAATTGCTTAGCTTAAATAGCTCTAAATGTTAATCATTGAACTCAGTAATGAACATCTACATCAAGTTTAAACATTCTACCCCAATTAAAAGCAGAGTTGTTATGTTCTAAAGTCTTGACCAATCAAACCGCTTATCGCTCCTTAGCCTTAGCAGAAAATTCTCATGATCAAACTTAGTCAAGGTAATGATATAATCGTCACTCTCACTTAATAAAAACTAAAGTTATCGTGACCCAAAGCGTCAACCAATGTGGCACTACAGGGTACAGATGTGTGACACTTTGGGGTTAGCTGTGACATTATCGTCTATGACTTTCTTCGAATTCACGTTGTGGGATAAATTATTTCAATTATCAATTAACTGACTTACTAAGTTTATATAACAAATACAGCAAACTACAAAGTTATGATAGTACTGTACTTTTGAGTTATTAAAATATCCACGATCTGAGTTTAGCATACTTTACAACTCAGACCTAACGGCTTAAATACTACATTTTGTATCTATCCCAGCCTCCTAGCCGAGAAGGCTACGATATTCCCCTCTCGGTCCGCTCTATGATATCTGAGAGAGAATTTTTACTCGCACTTTCTTATATAGAAATTTTGAACGCTTCAGCTATTAGGGCGGGGCAATTACCATATTTGGGTAAGTGTTTCGTATGGGCACCGTTTTACGTCAACACTATTCTAGTTAATTGTACTAATCTGTGCACGAGATGACTGGACTATAGTGCCCTACTTCCAGCAATGGATACTAACATAACTATCGGTGAGTTAGTCTAAGATAGTAGTAGAATAATACAAGCTACTTCATTACCCTAGTTTTTGTCACACATCATGTAGGTAACGAATTTCTATATTAAACAGAACAACTTTCTTATAACTAAAATAAACCCTATATAGTATTACACCCATCCGATTGCTTATCTCTGCTTATCGTAAGCAGACAATGTTTATCATCGAACTTCATAAAGGCATTCACCTAATGAACGCCTACACCAAGTTTGAACATCCTACCTCAATTAGAAAGAGAGTTATTGTGTTCAAAAGTCTCAACCAATCAAATTGCTTATTGATCTGCTTACCTGGAGCAGAAAATGCTCATTATCGAACTTAGTCAAGGTATTGATGTAATAAAATTATACGCCAAATTTCATCACTCTCACTTAATTAGAACAAAAGGTATTGTGTCCCAAAGCATCAACCAATCAGATTGCTTATCTCTGTTTACCATAAGCAGAAAATGCTCATTTTCAAACTCCATCAAGTCATTGACATAATAAACACCTACACCAAGTTTGAAGGTTCTAGCTCAATTAGATGGAGGGTTATTGTGTTCCAAAGTCTCAGCCAATCAAATAGCTTATCGCTCTGCTTACCCTGAGCAGAAAATGCTCATTATCGAACTTAGTCAAGGTATTGATGTAATAAAACTATACACTAAGTTTTATCACTCTCACTTAATTAGAACTAAAGTTATTATGTCCCAAAGCATCAACCAATCAGATTGCTTATCTCTGCTTACCCTAAACAGAAAATGCTCATCTTTGAACTCCATTAAGGCATTGACCTAATAAACACCTACACCAAGTTTGAACATTCTAACTCAATTAGAAAAAGAGTTATTTTGTTCCAAAGTTTCAGCCAATCAAATAGCTTATCGCTCTGCTTACCCTGAGCAGAAAATACTCATTATCAAACTTAGTCAAGGTATTGATGTAATGAAACTACACACCAAGTTTCATCACTCTCACTTAATTAGAACTAAAGTTATTATGTCCCAAAGCATCAACCAATCAAATTGCTTATCTCTGCTTACCCTAACCAGAAAATGCTCATCTTCGAACTCCGTCAAGGTGTTAACCTAATAAACACCTACACCAAGTTTGAACATTCTAGCTCAATTAGAAGGAGAGTTATTGTGTCCCAAAAAGTGTGACGGACGGACGCACAGGCAGACAAACCTATTTTAATAGTCCCCTGCTGTCTTTGAAAGGTGGGGGACAAAAAAGATCGTTTGTTGGACCTAATTTCATTCTGACTGAATCCAAGCCAGGTGATAATCTACAGTTGATATTTTAGTTTTGTTTTCTTTAATGACCATAAATGTTAAATTATCAATCTGAGTACTTTTTAGCATGGATTAAGTCATAAAAAATAAAACATTGTCAGTAAATACAAATAATGATTAGTGACTTTAAGATTGTTGTGATGAGAAGATCATTAATAAAAACAAAGACGGACTGATAGACAGATTGAATGAGACAATATTAATACATAATAGTTTAAGGTGTTAAGTGGCCTAAACAGTGAAAGTAGTGAAAAAGTAAAGTACAATGTATGAATATAACTTTCCTGGGTGGAAAGTTAAAAACAGTGACAACACATCAATGGTACTCTAAACCTTCGTTCACAATTAATAAAGCAAGTGACAGATCGCTTCCATAATGAAAGTAGCAAAAGTTGGACCCCAGGAAAAAATGAGACACTACAAGAACATTTTAATGGACTGCAACATTTTTTATCGCATGCACAAGTTTTCTAGCAAAAATAGATAGCAAAAACAGCAATTCTTAACAAAATAGGTGGAATACATGTATAAAGCTTGGGTTGATGATATAGAAAAATAGAGACACTTGGCGCCCTGAATACAAAATGAAATGAAATGGGGTTTAACATCCTACTGTTCTGCTTTGACTGAGCTAATGACGACGGGCATATGCCATGCAGTGTGTTATGAGGGTAATTTTGCCTGGGCAGCAGCACTATGGCCTACTCTTATATCGAATTGCAACTGCCAAGGGATCTTTTATGTGCATGCCAATGTGTACACAGGACCTTGGTTTCTGTACCATCCAAATGACTAGACTGCTGTCCTTGTCAGACCCTCCGTCATGCACCACTGACAAAGGGAAACCACGTCAGAAGCCCTGAATACAATAATATCGATTTAGCTGGACAAATGGACAGTATATACACATCAACATTTGAGTGACATGTTTCCTTGTTCAGATTAACTATAAACTTAATTATTGAAGAATCAAATTGTTTGTACAGAGCTTCATTTTGTGGTCGATAAGCTTGGCTTACACAGTCTTAGCCTTACTTACATTATTTTACAAATATTTCCTCACAATAATAGTTATTTTGGTAGGTACATAATGTGTTCTGTCAAGCTTTGTAAATTATATATTAAACAAAGTACAGTAAATAGTCCCACTGAGCATCACATTACTATAGGGTTTCGTGTGATCTATAAAATGATGCATAATAATTACACTACTTCTTTAACACTTGAATCAAACACTGTAAAAAGTAGATTTTAATCATCTTACCTGCTGGACTAGACATTTTTATGTTTAGTTAAAACTGAACACAATAAATATATCGGTTTCAACATCTACTGCTGTTTCTGTACTCATATCATAATTTTGCTTTTTAAAAGGACCCTACAGAAAAATTAAAAACGTGTGGGCTTAACTAAGGAAAAGTTTATGGTTAATATGCATAGCTGACTGATTATAGTAATAATACAGACACTAATATTACATACACTAAAGTGTTTAACCCTTTTGGTTTTCATATAGCCAAATGTCTAATGTGCAAGTAGTAGTTATTAGCACACTTTCCGAGGTGTATCGGTCAATATCAGGACAGTTTTGGTCGAGGGGCCCAGCCGAGGCGGCTCCCGACCAAAACTGTCCTGATATTCACCGATACACTGAGGAAAGGTGCTAATAAGTTACTTACATCACATTTCTATCGAGTATTGTGAAGCAAAATGTGAAAAATTGTATTTATTATCGAGTTGTTTCAACCGAAAAGTGACAAATACTTTCTGCTCTTTCATTATTTATCCCTTTCTGAGCCTCACGTTACATTTCATGGTAGAATGATTTTGCAGTGGAGAGACGACCTGAGTAGTATTTACACGTGCGTCTTTCTATGATACTCTGAGCGTAAAACAATCACGTGTTTGTTTAGACCACATCGTTAAAACAACTTGTCTATGGCGTAGAGGACTGCGATATTATTAAATGTAGTGTAAAGGAAATGCGAAACGTGGGTCATTCCTGGTGAAAGTATGCATCGGCGGATGGTTCTTCCCTTGAAATTTATTTGTAATAAAGTTTATGACTTTCTAGGCGTTTTTTTCATCCTGCTTATTATCAATGCCTGTGAAGTGTCCAGCAAGAGAACTGCGCCTTCTATCATCACAATTAATTAAAATAATTATTCAATATTCTAATTTATATATTTTGCATATTAATATAAATCAAACCAAATTATGAAATAGATGCCAATTGATATGTATAATACTTGATTTTTGTAATATGTTGTTATGTTAATTTAATGTCATTGTATATGTTTTTGAACTGCCATGTAGTTCCCCCCATTTTGTTTTGTTACTATGATTTTGACTAGTTGTTTAGAGCCATCATTATCATTTGCGATCTCGGTCGGACTAAACGTCCACTTCTTATTGCTTGTTAGGTATTTAAAACGGTATAAAAGTATCATCCATGTATCAGAAATGAACAGTACTCTTTCTGTACATTACTGATACATGGATACTTTTAAGCATATATTGCAATTAAACAGGACAGTTTTATCAAAGGTTGCCAGTGGCAACGAGTAGAAGTGGGATGTAAGGCATACAACATGCCCACTCTGAGGGTCTGCAGCAGGAAATTTTTAAGACATATTTATTATACAGAAATGTTTGTTGTGAATGAAAAGAATTTTACACCAAATTAATATAGAGCAAAGCTCTAAAGCATCACATGAAGCGCAGTGCTTGAGCAAAGTTCTTTTCCGGTAACACAGGAGCGTAACTAAAACAGTCACCACAGACTGTTGATTAAAAAAAATTTCAGACCAGAACCGGATACACTGGGTAAAAATGGCAATGTGCATGCCAACTTACCAAATCTCGCCCAAGTGAGATTACGCGACTCACAAAAATATTTTTATGACGCGTTTAATCAATGAAGTCACATATTTCTGACGTCAATGAAAATAATTCTCACAATTTTTGTTCTTTTTTTTTTAACAAAATTAATCATATAATTTAGATCTAAATTAAATTCAATTCTTGTATCACTTGAGAAACTTAATTATCAAGGTTTTATATTTAACAACAATCACATCAGCTTCGCTCTACTCAGGCAATACTAGCTAAAAACGTTGAGATATACTGATGTGTTTGTTTTTAGCTACGATTGGATGCCTTTAGTTCCAAGTGGCAAACTCAATTTCTTTATTAATGCATGTAACATCTTTAAAATAGATAAGTTTATGATATTATGATTAATTAAACTTACAGAGGCCAATGTAGTGGCACAACTGTCGCCTAACTCCAAATATTCGCGTTTAAATTAATGAAGCGTTGTTTTTGTCTGACATTTCACCGCCATCGAAATCCATTCATAGTTACTGTGCTTTCGATTGTCCTTTTGATTAGCTGTTATAAAAGCCTTATATTTAGCCCCGCCTTCATGATGACAGCATATCGTTTAAAAAGATGGCGGTCTTAGTAACAGCTTAATGCCTCGATTTTAAAAACGACGATTTGTACCCGTTTCAGGTAGGATTATATGCTTAATTGTAGGTGGGTGTTGTAGAAATATTATAAATAACAATAATCAATCGTGGTTTTAATTAAAACTATTGTCAATTTTGTTTAAAAATGCCGGGTGTGAATCGCTCCCGCAGGTGCAACGTTATAGGTAATGGCCTCAAGGTCTTATCTCGAAACACGGAGGGTTGAGAGATTAAGGTTTGTTATCTAAGGCAATACCTGTTACATTACATATTAATCGTACAACACTGCAATCAAATAACAGTAACTGATTGTTCGTTGAAAAACAAATATGAAGTGTGCCACTGACTGTATAGGCATAGAGAGCGATTGATAGTTTTCCTGAAGTCATAACACCTAATAATAATCATAGTTAATTATTAATACATGTCTGCATACCTACCCTACTGTAGTTAATAGCGGGTATTCAATTAATTTATAGATAATGTAAGTGGTTGACATATTCTGATATCCAGACTTAAAGCGGAATTGGGACTGAGTGTTTATTATTTGTATTGTTTATTTATAAATTATTGCGTACTTTGAGTTGAATAATCCTGGCACTCTGAATTCGACTTTTCTTGTCTTATGAACTGAACGAAGAGAGTTGTGTTTTCTTCTCTAGCATGCAGTCTAGGCATAATCAATGTTTTTATACCATAATCAAATGTAATTTAAAAATTCTTTAAGAGTTAGATCAAATGATATCTATATGTATTGAAGACACTGTCTTAAATTCTAAATTACCATTATCATAGCAGAATATTGAAATCCATTTGGTCAATATTTTATCCTGTTGTTGACAGATGAACTGGATTGTGGAGCGGAGAAAAGTAGCCCAGATCAGTAGGACGTGAAGTATTATTTCAATGACATGTAAACATGTTAGGCCGTCCCTGCTATTCTAGACTACTAAATATTAGGTTTACTTGATTCTTATATTTAAACATTTATCGGCACTACCAGCCACTTTACAAGCCGACGCACTCTACACTGATCAGCAGTGACTATTCGCTAATAAGCCACTAAAATCACTGTGAGGGATGACATCGGTGCTGGTTAATTATCTAGCAATATTAATCTTTTCCTTCTGCAAATTAAATTCTAAAACATTTTTTGATGTATTAGAAAAATAAAAACAGGTGTTTGAAATATATCTGGATAAAAATAGTATTAAGTGCAAATGGGTATATAAAATGAGTAAAAGCCACCATTCTGCCTGGACTAGTTCACGTTATTTAAAGTATGCACGCGACATCGAACCAATAATCAACGCCGCGTGATGTGGCGTCACATGTAGAAGGAATGTCAGTCATCTTTTACAGAGGTACTTCTGTGAAACAGATTGGACGCACTCGACTGCATGAGGTATTATGACCAGGTACTATTTAATACAGCCATTCACCCAATATTAAGGGGTAGACTTACACCGCGTATGCCCGTCTTCATTAGCCCAATTCGGAGCAGAACAGTAGGACGTTAAACCCCATTTCATTTCATTTCATTGTCCTAAATCAGCCACCAGATAACGTAAGTGGTACTTTTATGAAGAGTGCGTGTTATCTTTAAATGATGTTCGGATAAAACACCCACTACGCATGCTGAGAATGGCTTTCCTGTTCCGATGTAAACAACGCCAGTAAATATTGTAATTTTTGACACGTGTGAATTCTTCATTCTGTAAGCTATGGCTAAATTGTTTTGGCAATAGCTGGGACCGATTTCAGGCACAAGGCGTGGTATGCTTACTTTCTGTGGAACACCCGCATACATTTTGCCTCGTGGAAAATAGGCCTACTGTTCTTCCCACTAAACGCAAAAACCCTGGCTTAAAGTAGCTAAGTCTCTAACTCAATATCATCCAAAATCTTCAACATTGAAAACACGATTTATTTGTCAAATTAAATCAACATTTATGCTGTGAATTTACTAGGAAAAGATGGGCTTTTGATATCCAATATTTAAGACAAAATAAGCATTTTACCATTGGTACACGAATCGTGTACAATGCGCTTCAGCCCCAGTTGTATCAAGAGACTCGAGGGACGAGGCTAAACACATTGCACAAAATCAAACAGCGTATGTAGACTGGAATAACCAGACACTAGAAATTTGCACTCGCTTGAGACTGCTGGCTTATTTCGCCGAACATAACTGATTTGAAATTGGAGTTAAAACGGAAACCATTGAATGTAAATCAGTTTATATACATTCATATTACAGTATTAAATGCATTGCGACCCACTTTTGTCAATTTCTAGGTCCCACCCAAATGTTAGCGATTTAGCTCCTTTAACATAAAAATACTGCCAATACTGGCCCATTTTCATAGTCTTTGTTAGCTATAGTTGTTTACAGATTTTGGCATAGAACAACTAGTACATGCTGTGAAAGATATTATTTTTTTTTTTGCATTGATGACGAGGGTTCAAAGACATTGTACTTGTAGCCAACTACTTGATTCAGTTTGACAATTTCGATGCCAATCTGATTCACTACTGATTGTTGTATGGTTGGCTGTAATAATATACTACGGTAACGGTATCCCATCCCCCTGCATTTATCTTGATTTTGGTGCACATCTTAAATTTCTTTGTATTCTACAATTTGTGCAATATTTATTATCCAAAACTGCAGGCTGTAGTTAGGCAGATGTTTTAAATTGAGTCTTGAAGGCATTTCTTATCCTTTTTACTTATCACTATCATCGATGTTTTTTATGGAAATAAAAATATAAATTAGTCACGTAAAGGGAATAAATTTTAATTCACCTGATCATACCTTTGTGTTTAGATCAAAATAGTCTTTACGCAATGTCTGTTGAAGAAGTAAGAAAACTATGGAGATTAGCTGATGCTGTATGTTTTGATGTGGACTCAACAGTCTGCAAAGATGAAGGTTTAGATGAATTGGCCAAGTTTTGTGGCGTAGAGAAAGAAGTTGTGGCATGGTAAAGGGTTTATTTTTTAGATTCAAAACAAATTAGATCACCATTTATAATCAAAAGCAAGATTCTGACATCTATAAAAAAATTGATGCAGGAGCAATTAATAATGTATTTACCAGTATTCAAATAAATAAAAAATATGTTCTCAATTTATAAAAATATTGGGCCAAACATTCATCACTTAAAGATACATTAGTTAAGAGTTTAAAAAGAGTTGGTCATTCTTGCTATAATAATTCAAAAAAAAATTGATGATAAAAAAAGAAAATATTGAAAATTTCATTCAAATTACTTCATTCTCAGCCAAGTTATCATTGTTTGTAGTTTTGACAGGATGTGTGCACAGTGGTAACTAGGGCACTGGTATAATCGGGACTTAGCCTCACTTTCCCATTTTTAAATTAAATTTTTAAATGGCGAACCGTTTCAATCTAGTTAAAATCTCGAGTAGGCCTATCCGATGCAATCATGAGTCGATTATGGTCTTGTTTTGTTAATAAATGTCTAATTAATAGTTTATATAACATTTCAGGCCTAAAGAAAGACCTGTAATAGGCAGATTTAGCTCTTGCATAATGTATGTTAAATAAAACTGTTTATTTATACGTTACTTTGCAAATGAAAATTGGCCATATTCCGTCAGTATAATTTTGTTTTCCCTTTGATTATGTTTACTTTATTTACAGGACAAATAAAGCTATGTCAGGAGGTGTTTCATTTCGAGAGGCTTTATCTGCAAGATTAGATATTATTCAACCAACTTATTGTCAACTATCACAGTTTCTACAAAATCATAAACCTTTACTTAGTCACAAATTAAAGTAAGTGGGTTCATTTTTGAATTTTTGGTAATACAGTATTTAAAGTTGATTTTATTAATTTTCTTGGTGAAAGTGATCACTGTACGTGATGGCCAAACTTAATGTTTATTTCAGTGCATTTCATGAGCACATACATAGTAAAATACATAAGTACATACTTATATGTATCTATGCTTCGTAAAATTTTGTCAATAAGATTCCAATAACATCATCTAATTACCAACAACGACAACACATGCTCATTTGTAATGTATACCTGCAAGCATGTCAGCTTCCATCTCTCGAGTTGATTTCGCTTTTGATTTAAAAATGCTTAGCACCAGTGTCATATGAGGGTGGTAATGATTAAAGTGTTTTAATTGTGTCAGGTCATTGTTTTGTAATGAATGAATAAATAAAATTAGGTTCAACATCCTCATTTTCTGCTCCAATCAGGCTAATGAAGAAGGACATATGCCATGCAGTAGGCTGCGAGGGAAATTATGCCCAGAAAGCAATTGAATTTCAACTGGCAAGGGTTCTTTACCTGTATGCCTAGGAGTACACAGGACATCTATTTTTCGTATCATCAAAACACCTAGACTGTGTTCCTTACCAGACTCTCTCCATCCTTCACCACTGATATGGCTCCTCATTGTTTTGTAAGAAATAATTTAAAAAAATGTCCTTTTTGTCTCACAGGCAACAAAATTTGCCGAAAGCAAGAAAAAGCAGTCACACTTTTGATCCACGTAACTTTGGACAACATTTAAGATCGAAATTTTCAAATCTTTATTAAAAAAAAGAATTAAACAAGAATACAGCCCTAGTTGGGCAAGAAAATAGGGTGTCAACAACCCTTTGTAATTTTTCTTTAATTTAACAATAAAACCACAAGTATTCTAAAATAATTTTATACTTACGTAACTGCTTATACAAGTCCGAGTTTTCAAAGCAAACACAATTCTCACTCCAAATTGAAAGAAAACTAGCTGTAAGTTTTTATTACATGATTTCCGAATTAAAATTCAATTAATTTTGTTTACTTGCAGAGAATTAGTTTCATTAATAAAGGAGAAAAACAGAGATATATACTTAGTGTCTGGCGGCTTCAGATCCATCATAGAACCAGTAGCATGTATGTTAGATATACCTACACAGAATATATATGCGAATAGATTAAAATTTTATTATAATGGTAAGTATACATACTAATCTCTCTATTATAAGTTTATAAGTTCTAACACTGTTTAGCTTGTTTTGTAGTAGTATTTGACTCATCCTGTTTGTCCTTTTATTACAATAATGTATACTGGAAAAGATCACCTGCATGCCAAAATTTGACCTCTTGTGGGCTAAGTGAAAACAATATAGGGAGGCAGACCACCATTAATTTCCCCATTGTCTTCAATGTTAATTCTGGCCTCTTTGCCCACCTCCAACATTTCCCCAAATTTTCGTTGGGCTGAATGCTTTTCACTACAGACAGAGGAACCAATGGTCATGTCTTTGCACTAAAATTTGTATGAGGTTGACCACCAAAATTTTGAGATACACAAACTTGAAGAAGCATACTAAAAACATGTAACTAGTTGCCGTACATATCGCCGTAGCTAACCTGATAACCCTCTTATCCTTCCGCCTCAAAATCATGAATATTTACCAAAACCTGGCAGAAAATGTTAATTCAAACCCTCTTCGTCCATTCTAGACCAAAAAATCAACACAAATGGGCATGCAAAAGGGGAGAAAAGAGAGAGAGAGAGAATTGCTAAAAATAGACGAACTACAATTCGTGGGTACCGAGATGATGAAATTTAATGGTGGTCTGCCTCCTATATGGTTTTATAAGTTCATATATCATCAAAATTCTTTTCTTTATAGCTTCACATTTATTTTTGCAAAATTATTATAATACAGAATCAGAAAAAAATAATTACTGCAGAAATGGTGACCCTTTAAAGTTATGTAGTGTTTTGTATACCGGATTGCAGCTCAGGTCCATGGGCCTTTTGTTCTAGAATTGAAGATTCTTTCTTAATTTTGTCGAAATGTGAGTTCTGCGAAAATATTTAAAGAGTTTCAGACAAGTCACATCAAAAATATTCAAAATATTGGAATATTTTTCAAAAATTGACTTTCTTTTACCTTTTTCTACAAAATGGTCCATTTTTGACACTTTGTATGCCTCAAAATGCTAATATTTCCCTATTTCTGGGAAAGTCTGAGATGAAAAGCATTTATTTCTAGAAACCTTGGTCGGTATACAGGAAGACAAGCTGCAAATTTGTTGCATTGAAGGTAACTGTAAGGAACTATTGTGAAACCTGTAAGCCCACCCTCTAAAAATGTTGGTGTGGTAACAAATCCCACTTGTGTCCACATAAGTAATACTGTTGATGGAATATGGCTAAAAGCCATGTTTTTCTATCCCTGGCTTATATACATACATACAAACACAGTTTGTTATACGAAGTATGAATTATTTATTAAAATATGGATTGATAAATGTAAAATAAATGCTGTATTTAGGTGACAACCAGCCACTCTACTAATAAAAGGGTCGCAAAGCACTATTTTTTTTTAAAAAATGGGAATATTTCAGTTTTTAAAATACTTTAACAATCAGAGGTATCCTTGAAATTACATAGTGTAAATATTATGTGGAAGCAAGTTGTTTTAATCTTTACATCAATGTCCTGATAAAATGAGATGGAAAAAGGGAGTTCTGACATAATTCAAAGCATAAAAGGGGTATGAAAAGGCTATTAATTAATATTTTATTGCCCTGTAAGTGCCACATTTTCAAAGATCACCACAAATAATAGATTTACATTCAAAATGTAAAACATTAAGCTGCAAAAAACACATCTACAACATATCCATTTTGGGGTGTGGACTCATTTGGAAGAAATGTCATAGGATTACATGTTTGACCATAAACAAAAAGTCTTAGAAATCCTTGAAATCTTATATGTAACTATTTGTTTGTGTCAAATAAAATGCTCGGTTACAATTCAAGCACAAAATCAGATTACTGCTAATTTGGAGTCAACAAATGTTCAATTGAATATCCAAATATCATCTTCAAGAAAAGGGGTGGGGTGGGGAGGGTGAGCCAGTCTAAATGAAATGAAGACAGATAAATTTCCCTGCAAACACATAGATTTTACTTTCTCGAGAAGGGAAATGCAACAATTTCAGGTTTTGAAAGATTAAAATTGTGTTAAGCCGGAGGAAAACAGCAGCAAAATGCAGTTCACTCATGTTTTGAAAATTCTAACACACCTAAGCAGAACATAATTAGACTAAATTTCTTAATTTTTAAATTTTTGACAAACACATGAATACTTTTTCAATATCTGACAAACACATGGATCCTTGCCAAGTTATTTAACAATGAAAATAAAGACATGCAAGACATTTTGGTTCATTTTACAACAGATGAATAATTAAAATTTTGACAGCAATATTGGGGGTAATCTGAAGAATTTCAGACAATTTATCATGATTTTTAGGCAAAATTGAGTGAAATTATGATACTTTCTTCCCGTCTAACAATTATAATGCAGAAAAAGTAAAAATCATACATTAAAATATTTTCCACTGATTTTGAAAAGTAAATAAACACTGAAAATCACAAAATTTTGACTAAAATCAAAATTTCCCCTCCCAAATTTGTCAAATATTTTTGAAATTTTACCATTTCACATTTTTTACCATCAAAATGCCATATATCACATTTTCTGACAATTTGGAGATCATATCATCAAATAGGAGGCAGACCACCATTAATTTCCCCATTGACTTCAATGTTAATTCTGGCCTCTTTGCCCACCTCCAACTTTTCCCCAAATTTTCGTTGGGCTGAATGCTTTTCACTACAGACAGAGGAACAAATGGTCATGTCTTTGCACTAAAATTTGTATGAGGTTGACCACCAAAATTTTGAGATACACAAACTTGAAGAAGCATACTAAAAACATGTAACTAGTTGCCGTACATATCGCCGTAGCTAACCTGATATCCCTCTTATCCTTCTGCCTCAAAATCATGAATATTTACCAAAACCTGGCAGAAAATGTTAATTCAAACCCTCTTCGTCCATTCTAGAGCAAAAATCAACACAAATGGGCATGCAAAAGGGGAGAAAAGAGAGAGAGAGAGAGAATTGCTATAAATAGACGAACTACAATTCGTGGGTACCGAGATGATGAAATTTAATGGTGGTCTGCCTCCATAGGTAAATGACAGAGTTACTTCCCCTGAATGACGCCCCCCGCCCCCCAAAAAAGAAATAATGGTTTATGTAAATGTATGTTATCTACAGGAGATTATGCAGGTTTTGATACAGATCAGCCAACATCAGAGTCTGGTGGTAAAACAAAAGTTGTTGAGTTGTTAATAAAGAAAAATAAATATAAGAATTTAATTATGATTGGTGATGGTGCTACAGACATGGAAGCTTCTCCTCCAGCAGTAAATATTTCTCTTCTCATATAGTTACATTATTTTATTCAGGTCTATGTTGAGACACAATGACATTTCTTTGTTCAAGGCATGGACTAATTTTGCATGTGCCCTGATGAATTTTTTACATGTTATACTGCTTGATACTTTTCCTTGGCAGTAAGGCCCCCATATAATGGTGCAATTCCACCCATACATCATACACCATGCATCAGTGAAACCAGAAACAGCTCTGATGTTAAGTGGCCCTTCAGGTTTGTCATATGACCTATTGCAACTTTGTCACCTAATTTAAGCCCCATGCCCAGAAAATCAGATAAACCTGACTTCAGAGTTTAATCACTAGTCAAGATATATACATATAACTTATATTTCTAAATCTAAGGAATTAGCCATCCAATCTCTTCATGCAAAAGTAATAACAGTCATTCTCAAAATATGGCTACACCATTGTCATTGATGTAACAATTATTTCCTGTTCAGAGTCACCTCACAGAAAATAATTTGCCAAATAACTAAGAACAAGATTTTTTAATCAGAAGACATTTCATGGTTTCTTAATTCAATCCATTTAAAAGTTTCAAGCAGTTATCAGCAGATATACTATATATCCTACAATATTAAACTGTTATAATAACAACTACAGTAACAATATATACATTTATAATCTAACCATGACCACTATCAATCCACAAGTTATACTTATTTATATAAAAAATAATATACTTTCAGTAAGTGATTCACACTTTTGCAATTTACATAAGCTATTATTAAATTACTAATTAATCAACTAAAATATTTTCTTCTAGGCTGCATTTATTGGATATGGTGGGAATATTGTTCGTGAGAAAGTAAAATCTCAAGCCAAATGGTTTGTCACAGATTTTCAAGATCTGATGGACGAACTTATGTAACCAAATATGGAAATTTAATAATAAACCATGTTCTTTCAAGTTCAATTAAATTTTTAAAGGAAATGTTTATCATCGCTATGGAAGACCAAACAGCTCTTTATTCAGTATTCTTTAATCATAGTCCTTAATTCTTCATTTGTTGTCATATTTCAACAATTGTATCTTAAAATCAATAATAATATTTGTATCTTAAAATCAATCTGTTTTACAAATCCGATATTTGTCATATCAGATTTGTAAATTGTATCTTTGTTTCATTTTATAATATAATGATAAAATCTCTTTTAGAAAATCAAAAAAATACATTTAATCCGAAACCGACAACGACAAACAAATCTCGAACAACAAATTTCCAAATACAAATCTCCAAATACCAATCTTGCAAAACCAATGTCAAAAAACATTTCTCCAAATTCATCTAACCGTAATAATATGCCGAAAGAGGATGCTAGCGGTGGGCTGTCAGATTGCTTTAACGAAATGATAAAACAGTTGCTGCACCATACGACAACAAATGAAGACATAAGAATTAAGGACTATGAATAAAGAGTTGTTTAATTGGTCTTCCACATATATTGCAAGCTAAAAAGAACTGAACTTTGTTGTCTGGGATTCAATTGGAGACATGTTTGTATGTGAAGATATTTTCATTTTACACATTATATATTACTGGGACCAAATTGATTTTTTATTGAATTTAACAAACAATAGATATTAAAGACATCTAATGAATAATTTGTTCAGGTATTTTTTTTCTTAAGATGACAACAAGGTATTGAGCAAAATCTATTTATAAGACAGGTATGTTCCTTATTTACTGTAGTACAGACATGAGTTATGTAGAGTAATAGTTTAGTCTTAGCCCGTCTATTTTGATACTGTATGCTCATCCTGCTTTCATAGTTGAATATAAATAAGTGATACAAAATCGAAAAACCTTAAAGGTACTACTGATTATTAACAAGAGAGAATATTATATTGTACAAAGTTTCAATATCCAACAGATCATGTTCATCTTTGTTGACATACAAACTTATATCTTAAACTATTATGGATTACAATAATGTTAAAAATATGTAGAACTCAAACATGTATGTATAAAATGAACTTGGGTAACAATGAATTCGTTAGTGGTCATAATTACTATATCTGTTTCAGGGCAACTTGTAAATATTGTTCCATACTGACTGTACAGTTAGTCAGCGTGAAATTAAACAAGTAAATATCAGACAATTTAAACCATAAGTTTAGTCAGTATAAAATAAGCATGTTTTTCATATCCCAATTCATGTTCTAAGCATGGTATTTCCAATTGATGGCATTTATTATCAGTCTAGTGAGTAAACATATATATGCAAAAAGAACAGACCATATGTTTCTACCATAGTCTAGTTGACACAGACTCAAGGAAATGAAGACTCAACAGTGAAGTTTACTAGCAGTAACAAATACACAATAATAACCAGGAAAGAAATAAATATCTAATAAATATGTGATAATTATTTCATTCGAGTTTAAATTTATTGTTGGTCTACACTACAGTCAAACAATAGAAAATGTAAATACAGTATATAACATAAAGTCCATAGTATATGACATAAACGCCATCGTATATAACACAAATGCTATAGTATTAGTATATAACATAAACACCATAGTATATAATCATAAAGAAATTAACAAATTCAATGGATAATATATCAAAACCTACATTTTTCAAAACGGAGGGTCACTTTCATGTTTAACAAAATAAATACGTTGATGTCAACTAGTGACCCAGTTATTACTTTTAAAGAGAGATACAAAATTTGATTAGCCACAGTAGTAGGAATTGTGGGTGCTCTGTAGCTAATACTTGTGTCTGACAGCTATAGCATGTTGATGTCAATATTGCTCCACCATCAAACAATATCTACCAAAATGTTGTCTCCCATTGAATGTATTCTAATTATATTTATCCTAATACTTTCAATGGAATATACCATTGTCTTATTTATGAAATAATCAAAATATTTCAATACAGTAAAGAATCAATGCTATAAACAACAATAAGCAATAAGTAAGACATGTCTGTTAACTGTTAGAGGTTATATATTTTCTAAACACACAACAATATTATTTATTTATCTTTCTTGCCACCACTACTTTCCAGTGACTCCATTTTCTCCTGAAATGCAATAAATAAAGTTAATGTAAATGTAAGTCTGTTGATCATCATTTGCGGGATGTTAAATCCCTTGCAAACTATAATATTATGAAAATTGAATCAGTAAAAGGCAGATCAGTCCAGAATGGTTCAATCCCATTCAGTATTTACAAAGATGATGAACTGAAAATGTCCAAGCATTCGAAATCCTCTACAGATAATATGAATAAACCAGCGTTATTGGATAAAATCTTTTGATGGGCCTCTTTCTAAACTAAGATTATCTACCGTTGATATTTTAGTTTCTTAAGTAAATGTTAAATAAATCAATTTCAGTATATTTTAGCATTGATTAAGCCATGAAAAATTATATATTGTCCGAAAAATTAAACTGATGATCAGCGACTTTAACAGTGTGTCTTTTGTCATATGAAGTTGCTTGTATTAACTTAGCTACATTTAACTCAACACCTGACATGAAGATCCTACATACAACTAAGTTGAACATTCTCTTTTCAGTGCAACAAAGCTTTTATCAATTAATTATATTGTGAACTTTTCATGAAGATTGTATTTGTGTCTTCCAAATCAGAGTAAAATAAAACACTGTCATCTAAGATACCATAGCTAGAGAACCAAAATGTTATCTTTATAGATTTGATATGTTTTCATCCAGAGATGTCACTGGGTAGAAGATAACAGCAGCAACTATTTTCAACATACCTGTAAGGTAGCATGCTCTTTCAACAGTCGATCATACTCAACATTAGTTGATTCTGATTGTTTCTTCATAGATTTTAAGTTTAATTCAGCATGTCTTAGTTCTGAAAAGAAAAAGTAAATTGAATCAATTAATTCTGATTGTAATCCATTGTCTTGATTTTGCTTCCATAATATTTGTTATCAGGTTCCCCCAAAATGAAACTGGTTTCAAAAGAAAACTTGACTACAGACCTTCCTTAGTTTCATTAAGCTCTTCTTTTAGTTTATTTAATTCTTTTTGCTGTTCAATATCAGCTGTATCTTCCTTTGTCTGTAAATATATAATAAAACATGTCTGATTTCTGCTATTCTGAATAACAGATGTGGCCTTAGTATAATAAAACACAAGAAACTTATTTCAGCTATAGAAATTGGGGGAGATAGTATTAAGTATACAATTCAGTTAGAGCATGCCTTGTCTCAAATTCTTGTGTTTAATTGCAGTGAAATAATCTTACTCTGACAATGGAATATATCACAGGTAAGGTCCAAATGAGTTTGGACCTTTCCAACTTGATTGACATGCCTTACATTGTACTATATGGGAAATAAAATGAAATCGGGTTCAACTTGATTGACATGGCCTACACTGTACTACATGTATATGGGGAATAAAAATGGGCATATGTGTAAAATAACCCAGAAAACACATAACATTCCGACTGCTTGTTGTGTAATAATGGAGATAGAAGCGGAAAGAAGACAACTATTTATAGCAAACAAGATGCTTTCCCTGTCCTAGGTAAGTTGTTGAATAAATTATGCATCGTACACATCAGTCACGTGATCCGCAGTAAACAATCATGGCTGCCTTCAGCAACAGTTTCACACTGGACGACGCCTTGTCGTCATAGAAGGAATTTTCTCTACGCCGCAATTATCCAAGTCACAACCGGCACATCGCTGCATAAAAAAGATACCTTATTGACTTTATTTTCTTTATCATCTAACAATCTCTGTGCAGCTTGTGAAGCACTACTAGCCTGTTTCTGACTAGCTTCACATTGGGCCTGGAGTAGAGCTTGATTAGCAATAAGTGTTACTAGTCGTCTAATAATACTGAAATTAAGAAAATATACAAACATCACTTTAAACAGACCTGAACTAAAATTGGTGATAACTGTGTTTTTTCAACAGGATTTGCTGATACAGCAACTGTAAGTTGCCCCAAATTACAGCTACTTTTAGGCCTGCTGATATCGCTGCGAATTCTAGCATACTTATATCAACACAATTTCAATAAAAAGATGATTAAAATTATATGTACCGGGGTTGGATGAAAAGTTATAAGCCTGAAAATGATAGATCAATTGGGTTGAAACTTTTATCACCAATATAATCATTGAATGAATCATAGACATAACTGTATTGTTATTGTCTTCATACCAGACCATCATGTGAACCTCCCCATTGAAATCACCAGAAATGGACAAAACTGGCTACAGGGCAGTCATCAAGTACCTGCAACTGAATGGACTAACCCCAACACCGATGCATGCCGACATGGTCTCCACCTTAGGGGATGATGCCCCGAATTTAAAGTAGCTAAGTCTCTAACTCAATATCATCCAAAACCTTCGACATTGAAAACACGAATTATTTGTCAATTTAAATCAACATTGATGTTGTGATCTTACCAGGAAATGATGGGCATCTGAGATCTAATATTTAAGATACAATAAACATTTTACCATTGGTACACGAATTGTGTACCATAATGCGTTTCAGCGCCATTTGTAACAGGGGACTAGAAGAACAAGGCTAGACATATTCCACAAGCCATGTCAAAAGTCACCCTAAAGACAGCCAGGAATAATTATCAAATAAGAATACTTACAACCATAGAAACAAGGCAAATCCAGCTATGTAAAAATTTCTTTGAGCTCTAAATAAGCGCATCAGATTTTTGGTTTCTGCATCTGGATTGTGTTTAAGATCAACTTCATCAATAGGAGCTGAAAATTTTCTAACTTCACGGACAGAATCTGAAATAAATTAATCTTATCAGAAACAACAATGGAACTTTTGTACACTATCATTTTTTTTTCCAAAACAATGATTTTTGACATTATTTTATATTTCTAACCCATTATGTATGAGTAGAGACATATTATGTTGATGCTACATGTACATAGTGTTTCATATTAATTATTACAAATTGTATTAGTCTTACTTACCAGCAAACAAAACTAATAAAATCAATATAAACACATTAAAATAAATATGACCATAGGTACTAATTTTAGCTAGAAACCCAGAACGAAATATCTTCTGCCATCTGAAATAAAAAGATAAAATATCTAAATGAATATTAGCAGATTTATTTTGTCATAAATTATTCTATTCACAACAAAATTGAATCGACAGTAGCCTACAGTACTCTATTAATTATACACATCCCAGAATAAAACTCTAAACTCTTATGAAGATCTCTCATCTTAAATATTTTTCCACTCTCTTTTTTTTTCAAGTATTTTGTTTATCAAGACAACTTCTTTAAAGTTAGGTTGCCAGCCAACAAAATATATGCCCACAGCAGCTAAATCGTCTGAGCGTTCGACAATGGTTGTCACATATTTATTCTTTTGTAGGTAATTAGGAGCATTTAATAGACAATTTCATACAGATGACATTATAATTTTCATCGTTTGAGGGTTCACAAGGTTCTAAAAACTGAAACAGGAGCTGTAACTGTGGAAGTTATCTACAGAAAATGTTGAAATTCGACAGGCTTTTTATACGCCCACATTTTCATGTGGACGTATTATGCCATCGCCCCTGTCCGTCCGGACGTCCACAATTTGTTTGTGGACACTCTACAGGTCACAATTCTTATCCGATTTTGACGAAACTTGAAATATAGGTTTATCTCCAAAAGATCTCGGTTCCTTTCGATATTGGCATGTATCGGATCGAAACTTCATGGATTATGGCCCCTGTTTGTACGAAAAATCACGTTTTTAGCTTGTGGACACTATAGTCTATAGAGGTCACAATTTTTATCCGATTTTGTTGAAACTTGAAATCTAAGTTGATAATCCAAAGATCTCGGTTCCTTTCGATATTCGCGCATATCGGACCGTAACTTCCTGAATTATGGCCCCTGATTGTACCAAAAATCGTGTTTTTAGCTTGTGGACCCTATAGAGGTCATAATTTTTATCCGATTTAAAAAAAACCTTCAATTATATCACCGTTACACCCAAAGGTGGCTGAATTCGAATTTTGTGAAAATCGGCCCGAAATTGACAGACAAAATGGCCGCCGTTCGTTCTCAAATAGCGTAAAAATATGGTATATCAATGTTGTGGACACTATAGAGGTCACAATTTTGTTGAAACTTGAAATCTAAGTTGATAATCCAAAGATCTCGGTTCCTTTCGATATTCGCGCATATCGGACCGTAACTTCCTGAATTATGGCCCCTGATTGTACCAAAAATCGCGTTTTTAGCTTGTGGACCCTATAGAGGTCATAATTTTTATCCGATTTAAAAAAACGTATTATGATATCACCGTTACACCCTAAGGATGGCTGAGTTCGAATTTTGTGAAAATCGGCCCGAAATTGACAGACAAAATGGCCGCCGTTCATTCTCAAATAGCGTAAAAATATGGTATATCAATGTTGTGGACACTATAGAGGTCACAATTTTTATCCGATTTTGTTGAAACTTGAAATCTAAGTTGATAATCCAAAGATCTCGGTTCCTTTCGATATTCGCGCATATCGGACCGTAACTTCCTGAATTATGACCCCTGATTGTACCAAAAATCGCGTTTTTAGCTTGTGGACCCTATAGAGGTCATAATTTTTATCCGATTTAAAAAAACGTATTATGATATCACCGTTACACCCTAAGGATGGCTGAGTTCGAATTTTGTGAAAATCGGCCCGAAATTGACAGACAAAATGGCCGCCGTTCGTTCTCAAATAGCGTAAAAATATGGTATATCAAGGTTGTGGACACTATAGAGGTCACAATTTTTATCCGATTTTGTTGAAACTTGAAATCTAAGTTGATAATCCAAAGATCTTGGTTCCTTTCGATATTCGCGCATATCAGACCGTAACTTCCTGAATTATGGCCCCCTGATTGTACCAAAAATCGCGTTTTTAGCTTGTGGACCCTATAGAGGTCATAATTTTTATCCAATTTAAAAAAAACGTATTATTATATCACCGTTACACCCTAAGGATGGCTGAGTTCGAATTTCGTGAAAATCAGCCCAAAATTGACAGACAAAATGGCCACCGTTCGTTCTCAAATAGCGTAAAAGTATGGTATATTTTACTAATTCAAACCAGCGGCTGCCAGGCAGGATACGCCCACATTTTCGAGAGATGGATAGAGAACAAGCTAACAAGAAAGTGATTTTTCCTACAATCAAGGGTCAGAAGTCAGGAAGTTACGGTCCGATATGCACGAATATCGAAATGAACCGAGATCTTTGGGTTATAAACTTACATTTTAAGTTTCAACAAAATCGGATAAAAATTGTGACCCCTATAGGGTCCACAACCTTGATATACCATATTCTTACGCTATTTGAGAACGAATGGCGGCCATTTTGTCTGTCAATTTTGGGCTGTTTTCACGAAATTCAAACTCAGTCACCCTTAGGGTGTAACGGTGATATAATAGAACGGTTTTTTAAATCGGATAAAAATTATGACTTCTATAGGGTCCACAAGCTAAAAACGTGATTTTTTGTACAATCAGGGGCCATAATTCAGGAAGTCACTGTCCGATATGCGCAAATATCGAAAGGAACCGAGATCTTTGGGTTATAAACTTACATTTCAAGTTTCAACAAAATCGGATAAAAATTGTGACCTCTATAGGGTCCACAAGCTAAAAACGTGATTTTTCGTATAAACAGGGGCCATAATCCATGAAGTTATGATCCGATACATGCCAATATCGAAAGCAGCCGAGATCTTTTGGGGATAAACCTATATTTCAAGTTTCGTCGAAATCGGATAAGAATTGTGACCTGTAGAGAGTCCACAAACAATTCTGGACGGACGGACAGGGGCGACGGCATAATACGTCCACATGAAAATGTGGGCGTATAAAAATGCATATAAATTTCATACAGATCGGATAATAACTTTTGTCGTTCGAACGTTCACAGGGTTCAACAAAGTAATACAAGGGCCATAACTCTAGTATTACTTAACAGAAATTGCTGAAATTCAATAGGCTTCTTCGTAGCACTCATTTAAATGATGCATATCAATTTCAAATAGATCGGATGATAACTGTTGTCATTAGAGCGTTCACAAGATTCAACAAAGTGAAACAAGGGCATAACTCTAGATGTAATTAACAGAAATTTGCTGAAACTCAATAGGCTTGTTCGTTTAACTAATTTAAACGATACATATAAATGTCATACAGATTGGATAACAACTTTTGTCGTTAGAGCATTCACAAGGTACAATAAAGTGAAACAAGGGCCAAAACTCACTGTGTAATTAACGGAAATTGCTGAAATTCAATAGGCTTCTTCGTTTAACTAATTTGAATGATGCATATCAATTTCAAACAGATAGGATGACAACCGTTGTCATTAGAGCGTTCACAAGATTCAACAAAGTGAAACAAGGGCCATAACTCTAGATGTAATTAACGGAAATTGCTGAATTTCAATAGGCCTCTTTGTTTTACTAATATTAATGATGCATATAAATTTCATACAGATCGGTTGATAACTTATGTCGTTAGAGCGTTCACAAGGTGCAACAAAGTGAAACTGAAACAAGGGCCATAACTCCAGAAGAAATTAACGGAAGTTATTGAAATTAAACGGGATTCTTCATCTCACTAATGCAAACAACATATAACAATTTCAAAACAATCAGATGATAAATGTAGTCTGTAGAGTGTTCACAAGAAATTGTGGACGACGGCAATATACGACCACATTTCCATGTGGGCGTATAAAAAGGAAAATGACAATTCCTAGCAATTTATAATTTTCAAGGATTTTAACCCCAAAAAACTATTTATTTATTGTGTTTCAAAGCCTTGAAGATACATCCAATAAAAGTATGGCAAATTAGGTATATATGGAAAGTATAGACAGACACCCAATCTTACCAGAAAAATACTGAATTACCCGAAAAACACCCATGGGGCAAGCACTGGGGGAAAATGTCAGGGTATCACTAATGACAACCCCAATGTTGTCTGCCAGTTTATTGTGTGCTAGCTTGACTGAGGGAGCGTTTGTTATTTCTTGATCAAATGGTTAGGAGGTTTGGGGAACATTGAGGGGTGTCAACGTGCAAAAGACTGCAATTAAACGGCGGAAAAAGAAGCTGACAGAAAATAATTAAGAATATGTATGGTAAATGGACTGTAAGTAAAGAAAAATACGTTCTAAAAAATGGACCCTCCCTCAATGAAGTGAGGTGACAGAAATGGCTTCTAACAACAGTTTATTTATAGCTTGAGAGGGATTTGAAGGAAATTTTTGATAAATTAATTAGTTTGAATGTTTTAGTCCAAAGATATCATCAAATCACAGTTTGTACGCAGGATAGTATCTTAACAAATAGCCCATTCTTCAGGTTCAATAAGGATTTTTTTCTGCTTGGATTTAATTATTTTAGGAAATTTTGGCAGTAGAACATGAGATATCGGTACACCAACGTTGAGTTATTGTAATGGATATTTAAGCATGTCTAGATAGACAACAAACCCCTGATCTTTGAAACTTGAATGCGTTTATCGATATTGTACTTGTAGCTCAAATATTTAGGATTTTGCTTTAATAGATGAAACTCTTTACAACTATATAAAAAAGTTGTACTGTTCATTTTTCAAGAAGAATTCTCAAGATGTTAGACAGTCTTTGTTTTCTTGCAAATTTTAAAATACTTGAATATCAAGACTCAGGTTTAACTGAATTGTGAAAGAAAATGTTATTCAGATATCCTCTTTCAAATATTTTCGAAAGTTTAAAGATTTTTAAAAGAATGTGAAATTAGTTTTTTTGAGGCGTTTTTGGTCGGCACATCCTGATGTATCAATGTATAGCATTGTTACATGCCCAGTTTATATACTCAATTTAATTCTATAAATACCTTGATGGTTTTATCCATGGTAACAATAAAAGAAATACTACTGCTAACTGTGCATATAGAACAGTTGCGATAAATGTCCACTGTATACTCATTTTCTTCTTTATTCTGCAATAAATTAAATGGCGACACAATTTTAAAACAAAAGATAGGTTACCAGGCAATAAAACATATGCACATATGCCAACACACGCACACAACAGCTAAGTCATCTGGTCAGTCCACAAATTGGCATTGTGAATCTATAGGTAAATAAAAAGCAAAATCTTTATACTGTATAATGGTGATTTGACAATATTCTATGACATAATGAAGGGCAAGAATTCTTATATCTTAAGAAACTGTCGCAACATATTCTTGTTTTACTTTATAACTATCAAGCAGATTGGATGATTCTGCATATTTAGTAAAGATAACAATTCAAATGGAAATTGTTGAAACCCAATAGACTTCTAAGTTCTCATCACTTCTGTTTTTATAATAATTTAACATGGTCGTCCAGTATTTAAAGGAGCAAAATCGCTAATATTTCGGACCTAGAAATTGACACAAATGGGCCGGAACACATGAAATGATGTAATATGAATGTATATAAACTGATTTACATTCAGCTGTTTCCGTTTTTAGTCTAATTTCAAAACAGTTATGTTCGTTGAAATATGCCCAAAGTCTCAATTGAATAGAAATCTCTCGCGTCTGGTAATTTGAGTCTACACTGATAGTATTCATTGCGCATGCTCTCCATATAACAATATGAAGTCACCGTTTGACATGACTTGTTGAATATGTCTAGCCTCATTCTTCGAGTCGCTTGTTACAAATGACGCTGAAATGCATTATGGTACACGATTCGTGTACCAATGGTAAACTATTTATTTTGTCTTGAATATTGGAAACCCATCTTTTCCCAGTAAGATCACAACATCAATGTTGATTTAAATTGACAAATAATTTGTGTTTTCGATGTGGAAGATTTTGGATGATATTATAGTGAGTTTGAGACTTTGCTACAGCTACACACAGCAAGTGCTTTTAGCAAGGTCATAAAATGGCATATTGCTCAAACTCAGCGATTAATTGTGTATCATCAACATAAAAGAAGTAGTGATTGATATCAAACTAGTCTATAACATCCCCATAATGACAATACTAGCTTTACTACTTACTAGTTATAGTAGTTATACTACACCAGACTAGGAAAATCTTAATAATAAATTAATACGGTCCAGCAATTAATACCAATTATTCTTTCACAAGTCTTCAAACGCTTGTGAAAATAAAACATTCACATCAAGAAAAACAACAACTTTCTTACCAACGGCTGTGCTTTACCTTTTACAAATTACAATTGCGTTTTTTAATTCTTCTCAGAATAATTAGGCTAAAGTCCTATGAAATTTAATGCTACGTTTCACTCGGTATTATTGACCAGTTTACTTCCGGTTTAATTATCTATTAATAGTCACTTCGTCACACTAGTGAGTTGTTTCGTCACATATTTTCAACGCAAATTATACCGGAAGTTTATTTTTACGTGACCTTTTGAAGTTCATTCCCATGGTTACCGAAGTAGAAACAACATGGCTTCTTCAAAACTGTCTATTTTCTATTTCTAACTTTCAGAGGTAACATTTAACACACAGAGCTTCGCGACAGATATAACAAAGAATCATGTCTCACAGGTATTTGCATTTAATCAATCAAATGTCATAATTTGTACTAAATGATGAAACAGGCCTCTGCAATTGAAAGTTTTTTGGGTTTTTTTTTTTTACTATTATTATTTACTCACTCAGTCAGTCAGTCATATACTAAATAGTTTAAGTTAGATAATAGATCTAGATCTGGTCTGTCATAGTGTCAGTGTGTTTTTATTATTAATAATATTAATATTACAGGTAATTAATATTTTAATAAATTTTATATAGATCTTGGTTAGCTACAGTAACCAAGCAAATTGAAGATCGTGGAGATCTGATTGATAAATTTGATATGACTACGAGTAGTCCTTTAGGCCTAATTTCAATTTGCAAACACGTTTTGTCTTGTGTGACTGTGAGTGTGACAAAAACAGAGGCCTACCGGTATTATAGTTTTTCACCGGTACGGTTGCACATCCCAGTGTAGTGGCAGAACTTTGTACTTACCCGGTACTCATTTACTGACACTATGTGACTATGTACAACTGTATTTCAATTTATTATCTGCTAGTGTGGGTTAGCCTAGCTAGTTCAGATCGATGTTCGTGAATGTACCAATAATTTTAATATCAGAGCTAAACTAGGGTTGGTTGTTGGCCCAGTATTCATGTCGTAACGGTGGTTAAACTAAAAACTTACCTTCTGATTTTTTATATCTGTATTACAGTTATTATAATAAACAATGGGGAGAAGCGCAGGCTGCATTGGTGGATATTTTACAACAGGAACTTCCACCCGAACCTGCCAAACCAGAAAGAGTAAGTTATTTTTAAGGCTGTGCCTGATTGTCATAATTGCATTTTTCAGACAATGTCAATATCTTAATTTTTCACAACTTAATCCACACTGAATGATTTAACAAGTAGGGGTTTCAGGTCACGTGACTTTAGCGTGAAATCGGACAGCCAGCGGCTGAAATATAGCCCACTTCAATCTACGATTCTGAATTACTATTTTATGTAAATGCATTACTAGCAATTGTATTGTAATAGTTTAATATCAATCTCAATATCTGCAAAGATTCAGGCTAAAAAATTATCGAAATGTAAGCGAAATTACCGTTTGTTTACATGAGACGCTCGCGGGAAAATACCGCTCTGATGTCACGCGGCCTGAGATTTTCCATTGCTACGACTCACTTCATTGGTGAATCCGCATCTTAGTTACCGGGGGATTTTGATATAGAACCAATCAAACGATAGATAACATTTTTGTGGTTATTATGGTTGATACCACGTGATCGGACAAGTAGACCTGTAGAAAATGGGATTTATCTGTTTTGATGACTGAAAATTGCCAAATTTCGACTAGATATAAAAAAACTTTCTTGAGGTATCATCCAGATTATAAATATTTGACATATCGAGGGTATAGAACATAATTGTGATAAGTCAATATATCAGGCATTGTGACTTATCACAATTATGTTCTAAACCCTCGATATTATCATTCAAATTATTACGATTTTAATAAATTTTAGCTGACAATAACGTGTGGATTTCAGTTTTAAAATTGGTACTAGCGATTCTGAAGGGAAAATACCGCTTATGACATAACTCAAATATGACTGAAAAACACTTATTTTGGTGCCATGCCACGCATTGACTGGTATAGAGCATTTTGATTACATTATTGACGTCGATATCGGATTTTCAAATTCCATAACTTTGGATCTAATTAGAATATTTTGATGAAATAAAAAAAAATGGGTAGCATTTTATGTAAGCTTATATTTTCACAAAATATTTTTAAAAATTTGTTTTCTGTCATTTGAAACTTTGACCTGAAACCCCTATAACAAGAGAAGAAAATCAAAGTATGAAAGGTATAATCCTCCCGATCCCCAGCTAAGATTCTTTCCTATTTTTATAAGGACCATCACAAGATTTTAGGTAAACTAATTCATGTAGATAGTGCTGGCTTGTTTACTTCATCCAAACAAAACGGTCTCCAAATATTGTCATAAAACACCCAGTATAGCAGCCTTAGATTTTTACCTTAATTAAAGGTCCCTAATCATGTTTTGAACGATATAACAATAACTTATAAATCTACATGTCTTCCAAGTTGAACTTTCGACCGTTTAGTAATCTACGGTAGGCTGACCGGCAATTACACGCCTGTTTATATTGTTGGATGATATTGGAACACAGACATCATCTTTTTCACATGTTCGCGAAATCTGATTGATGAGTCTGTTTTTAATCCAACTGAATCCCAGCTTGGAGATTATCCAACAATAACATTGATTTTTTAATTTTGTTTTTTTAATAAAGACTGAGTACATAATATTCGCGTGGGTTAAGCCATGAGGAATTGGATATTTTCCAACAAAATGCAAATCATGTACTGTCTCCTACTGCTACTTTGGTTTACATCTTGACCATTTATATATCTGCAGAGGAAGCTGAAATTGTTATGAATTTTCAATTCATCATATATCTCTGTTAATACTGAAACTTGATTGATTAGAAATTACAGTGAAAACAAACGATTCAATGTAAATCAGTTTATATACATTCATAATACATTATTATATGTGTTGCTACCCATTTGTGTCCATTTCTAAGTACCAAAGAATAAAGATTTAACTCATAATATTTTTCCTCGCTCATTTCAATGAAAGAAAGTGAATATTTTTCTCATGGAAATATTAATAGCCCTTATTTTTATTCTAAATGTACCAGTATTGTATTTTAAATATATATATTTGGAACCCCACCATAAACATTTTTTTATACGCCCACATTTTGACGAAACTTGAAATATAAGTTTATCTCCCAAAGATCTTGGTTCCTTTCGATATTGGCATGTATCGGATAGTAACTTCATGGATTATGGCCCCTGATTGTACGAAAAATCTTGTTTTTGGCTTGTGGTCCCCTCCAGAGGTCACAATTTTTATCCTATTTAAAAAAAACCTTTTAAATATATATCACCGTTACACCATTATGACGGCTGAGTTCAAATTTCGTGAAAATCGGACCGAAACTGTCGGACAAAATGGCCGCTCCCTGTACGCAAATAGTGTTAAAGTATGTAATATCAAGGTATTGGACCATCTGGAGGTTACAATTTTTATCCTATTTGGATGAAACTTAAAACATGTTTTTATATCCCAAAGATCTTGGTTCTTTTCGATATTAGTGCATAATGGACTGGATTATGGCTCCTGATTTTGGCATGTTGACCCTCTACAGGTCTCAATTTTTATCCGATTTTAGAAATTATTTAAGTATATCATTGTAACACCCTGAAGATGATTGTTTTCAAATTTCATAAAAATCAGACTGTGTAAAAGTATGTAATACCAAGGTTGTGGACCTGCTAGAGGTCACAATTTTTGTCCGATTTTGATGAAACTTAAAATATATGTTTATATTTATATCTCAAAGATCTCAGTTCCTTTGGATATTCGCGCATATCAGACCATAACTTCCTGGATTATGGCCCCAGATTGTACGAAAAATCTTGTGGATCCTCTAGAGAACACAATTTTTATCAGATTTTGAAAATCGTTTAAATATATCACCATAATGAAGGTTGAGTTTGAATTTCAGGAAAATCAAAACGAAACTACCTGACAAAATGACTATAACTTCTTGGATTATGGCCCTGATTGTACGAAAAATCACGTTTTGTTTTTTTTAGCTTGTTCTCTATCCCATCTCACAAAATGTGGGTGTATCTTGACTGGCAACAGCTGGTTTGAAAATTTAAAGATATTTCTATTCTTTTGTTTATTCAGTTAATATTTTGTGTTCCTTTTTTAGGATCGTTTAGCTGCTTTTCAACTTTTGGCAACTATGTACATAAAATATATACAGATATTTCGTAAAATGGAACAATCATATGATCAAGTTGTACATCCCCAGAAGAGACGAGTTTTACGTTATGTATTAGATGGGTTGATGGGAAGAATCTTAGAATTAAAACATGAAATGGTGAACCTAGAATATTCTGAATATCATTATTTTGATGATGTTTTATCAGATTTAAAACTAACACCTGTAAGTATCAGAAACTGTAACCTTTCATCACGTACACCATTTCAATTTCAACCCCTTAGAGTTACACATAATTGCCCTTTATGCTTTATCTTATAAGCTTTCAAAACCTTTAATGTTAGAATTGATTCTGTTAGTACTTAGTACTATATATGTAGATTATTCCGAGTTGTGTACCTTAATAGCCAGAAATTTATGAAGAGATTTTGAAAATAATACTAATGTCTGCAATCTTCAACTGAATATGGTGGCCGCTGTTAATTTCTGCTTGTTAGTTATTAAATGACATTATTTTAACTTAAACATACATTATGCAAGATCTAAATCTGCCTATTGCAGGTCTTTCTTTAGGCCTGAAATGTTTTCTAAATTATTAATTAGACATTAATTAACTTGTCCAAGCCATAATCAACTCACGATGGCATCAGATTTCTCCAATATTAAATAGATTAGAACAGTTCAGCCATATTTTGATTTAAGCTAAAAATGGAGGAGCAAAACTTGTCCAAGCCATAATCAACTCACGATGGCATCAGATTTCTCCAATATTAAATAGATTACAACGGTTCAGCCATATTTTGATTTAAGCTAAAAATGGAGGAGTAATTGAAATTGTTGCACACGTCTTGTCAAACCTTCAAAGGCTAATATCTTCGCTCGCAATTGAGTAATTTGGGTGAAATTTTCAAATTAATAATTTTACATTATCTATTTTCGAAGTATTATAGCAAGAATGACTAGCTCTTTATCTAAATCTTACATTATGTATCTTTAAGTTTGAAGAGAATTTTATCTATTTCTTGAAACTGAATTTGAAAAATCCTATTCAAGATAAGATAAGCTTATCTTCTATATTAAGGCCTTCCTGAATTTCATTATCGCCTGGTGAGATTCTTGCATATTGATTGAAAATTAAATGTCTAAATATTTATTTTTCAGAATGATGTAGAAATACCCATTCCTAAATATTTCATTAATGAACGAACAAAGTCTTTGAAAGAAAGAGAAAAGTTGTTAGGTCAAATCCTGGCTAAAATAGGACCTCAGGATCAGGATAAGGTTAGTGACTTCATGTCGACTGGTAACGATCTATGGCTGTGTTGGTAGTTTCGAAATAATATTAGTTCGTGCTATAAAACGTATGCTTAAAATGAGAACTGTACAAACATGGCCTTCCTTTGATCAAATCTTTCCTTTGTAGTAGATCTTGGTGATGTAACACTGTTGCATTTTTTATGTTTTGAAATTATATATTTAAGGAAACTGAGGAACTAAGAATGCCATTAGAGGAAGCTATGAGACTTATTCAGGTACACGAGCGAGCTCGTCAAGGAAGATTAAGAGCTAAATTTATGAGAGAAATTCGTCAGCAAGAAGAAAGAGAAAGAAATGCCTCTAAACAAGGACAATCAACATTAGACCCAGAAGTTGCTGTACTTCGTATTCAAAAGGTAAAAAGAATAATTTATTAAACCAAAATCACCACACTTTTATAAAATCATATTTTAAAAATAAATAGAACAAATATATGGTCTAATTACTACACAAATAGAGCAGTGGTGCATTCACAACTTGTATCCCCAGTTTGAAAATTGATGAAAGCACAGACAAATTATAAGGAATTATCGAGTCAAGTTCCGGCCTTTCTAGGAACACTTCTATCAATTGTATAGTTTAATCCAGGAATGTAATTTGAGGGATGCAAATGGTTTGGCCATTTAATGATTTAATTTAAATATGTAGAGGGGAGGCTAAGCCTCGAATATATCAGTACTATGGTTACGATAATGGGACACATCTTGTCAAAACTATAAATACTGATTATTTGTCTCATAATAATGTTATTTGAATGAAATTTTCAATATATTGATTGCATGATCTATTTTTGAACTATTAAAAGGCTAACTCTTTATCTAAATCTTACATAATGAACCCTTAAAAGATGTTTACAAAAATGGCCATATATTAGTCTCAAAATGACCTTTTGGTAAGATGTTGACATATTTGATTAATTTTATCCATTTTATTTTCTACAGATCTGGAAAGGATTTGCGCAAAGGAGAAGAACAAAAAGAGAAAGAGATGAAGAAATGATGTTCATTGGAATGGTATGAATTTAGAATATCATTTTCCTCCCCGCTGATGATTATTTTCCTCACAGTGTAGCTTGCTTATCATACGAAGCAACCCAAATTTTAAACAGTTTGAATCACAATTATGCAAATCTTTCATGTTAGTTTTTTAAAATTTATTTTAGTTTGCAATAAAACCAGTTTTGATATAAGCTTATTTAAAGAGATAACAACAATCTGATTAAAATACACATCTATATTTCATTTCATTTTTTATACTTTCGACAGCCTACACTACATGGAGATCTCACAGGTTGTATGAGGGATCATATGAGAGGCTTTTGACCCTATGATGTCAGACATTGATTAATCAGTGTTGATGTTTCTGTTGGTTTACTCACTATCAGATCCTAGTGTTGTGAAGACAAGTAAAATGTAATTTTGAACTATGAAAAACGAAAGGAAATAGGATCTGTGTTATAACCAGATTGAGATTAACATTCATATTTAATTGTGTAATAAAATTACTACGGTTAATTTTCTAAAATTCTATGCAATATAACATGTAATTTTTTACAGTAAAGAATGCTATTTCTTAATTTTTAAATATGATTTTTGATCAGGCTCCACCTCCTTTGCCAGCATCTACTAAGAATTTGCCGCAATCCCTAGCTTTCAAGACAGAAGAACAGAGGCGGAAAGTACAAGATCAACATGAACAAGAATTTCAACAATCATTAGTTACAATCAAAGATAAAATTCGAGATACAGAGGGACAGGATATGAAAGAAACTATGATGGACCAAATCAGACAGTGGTTCATTGAATGTCGGTGAGTTGTATTCTCAGAATCAGATTTTAAATATTAATAATAAGATATATTTGAATCTTGCTCTTCAGTACATCAACAAATCACATTTTAAACTTCATATAACTCTGTACTGTTCTCACAGTATGAAAAGCTTCTATGAAAATGACCAAACAAGGAGGATAATTCTGTCTAAAACAGACACTATTAAAATCATGCTGTTATTTATTATTGGTGCCCAAGTTTGTATTTGTATGAGAATTATAAATTTGCAGTGTAAGATCACACATAATTCTGATTTATACAGCTGATAGCTTAGAGTGTGTATATACATGATAAAAGACAATCACTTGTTTTATAGAGATGCAACTGGTAAATTTCCTGATTATCCAGATGAAGATGATGGAGGTTCGGCTGCTATTTTCCGTCAAAAAGATCCAGCTGAACTGGAACGAGAAATGAAGGAAAAGGTATGGATAAATTTTAGAACATCTTTTTTGTTTGAGTAAAGCTGAATCTTCACAGACTTTGAATCCATTTGTATTTATTGCTTTTGTAAAAAAAAAAACCATTGCGTCTTTTTTATTGGTTAGGATGATGATAAAGGTAAAGGAAAGAAAGACAAGAAGAAAGATAAAAAGGACAAAAAGAAAGATAAAAAAGGAAAAAAAGGGAAAAAAGGAAAGGGTGATGATGAGGTATGTTCTCATTTACTATAATAATTCCAACACAACATTTAGATATACATGTATCAAACTTATTTTATATTCCAGTTCTTACACTTGGAAACCCGACCAAAAGTTGATGTTTTGTCTTTGTGATTGTTCAGTTTACCAAGAAAACTTCTATATGCTACAAATAAAAGAAGTTATACATTAAAAATATTTTTTCATGGTTGGCATAACTTGATTTTTTTTTGTCAATAATTTAGATGGGTTTTCGGTTTGTTTGTTTTTTTTAGGAAGAAGAAGAGGGATGGAAGATGGCAGCATCTAATTTTGTTGGAGCTGTAAATGAAGGATCAGATTCATATAAAGGTATAATGATCAGCTGTTTTCATACAAACTTCATTATTATTTTAATCATAGAATCAAGATGTTTTATAATTAAATTTGAATTTGATCACACAATATTGGTACTTGATTTCCATGTGTGAGACAATGTAGGGGGTGGGGTCATATTAAAGTTGAGGTTTAAATTGTGGTTATGTAATCACATTTATATTTTGTATGATTTACCTATAAAAGTTTTATCTTATTACATTTGATCTTATTTTTTTATTAAGCTGTGTGGCAAACCAGAGATGAGTCTGAAAACTTTTCTCAAAAACATGATTCTGAGTTGATAAAAGAAGACAAACGCAAAGAAGTAGAAGAAGAAATAAGAACGCAAGTTGATGAATTAATGAGAACTGAACTTAAAAACCTGAAATCGGTGAGACTTTGAATTCCAGAGAGATTTCCTGGTAATAAGATAGAAATGATAATTAAATGAAACTTGTATCAAGAAATAATTACAATGCTAATACTAATATAATTGTCATTATTCTTTAGGGGTTAAATCTGTTTAGGAATTGACAGCATGTTGAGTACGTTTTCTATCTTTATGTAGCCACAGTCCTCTATGTTTGTCATTGGTAGGGTATATTTCTCCCAGAAGACCATGTATTAGATAGAGTTAAATTGTAGCACATGCTAAACTTTTTTTTTTCTTAGAAATAATATTATTTCAGTATTTAAATTAATAAGTTTGATTACTAAGGTGATAATGAAGTAATAATTGTTTTCTAGGCAGTAGATAGAGACAAGGGAAAGAAGAAAGGAAAAAAATCTGGTAAAAAGAAAAAGAAAAAGAAGAAGAGTGGCAAAAAGGGAAAGAAGAAGAAGGAAAAAGATTTAACACCAGATAGGTAATTAAAGCATATTGCCAGATATTACAGTTGTGTATGATGCATTGTGTTTGCCATGGAGACAAAACTGGCATAATGATGGGTCACGATATGAGATGTTCTTAATACTGTCAGTAAAACTAAACATTGAGTAGCCTATAGGAATAAACATTTCACTAAGTATTAATGGGTATTCACATGCTTAGGTTTCAACACTGATCTCTGAGCTGATAAAATGTCCTAATCTGTGGAAAACACGCCTTAAAAAAAAACTGATGGGTTCACAAACTTTTCAGTCAGCCATTTTTGATTGAAGTGTGCATGGATATGCGATTGGAATCCTTTGTTTTTCCCAACGTAAGCCTTTCATGCAGTTTTATATCTTTGAATATTTGGATTAATACATTACAAATAATATCAGATAAAAAGTAGACACACCATCTGTAATCTTCTGCAAAGGAATGTGAAAAATATTTTCGAAACCTTTATTTCTGCTAATCAAATGTAGGGCAAACCAGAGGTGGGAACTCGAGTCCAACTTCAGTTGCACCATTGACCCGACATGCAACTCAACTTGAAATATTTATTGCAACTCGACTCGGACTAGGCAGTCGTGATGACTCGGACTAGGCAGTCGTGATGACTAGGTAGTCGTGATGACTCGCAACTTGAAAGAGCTTAGGACTCAAGTCACGAGAAGGGGGCAGAACTCTAACTTATCTTATTGGCTATGAATTGCTAACTCATTTCATGACTTGTTCCCACCTCTGGACCAAACTTGATTTGCTAACCTTGTTTCTTCAGCCGTGTGCATGACTAATAAATTCTAAATCTTTGGAGTGACAATTTATACACACTCGTTAGTTCTCATTTACATCATGATCATTTCTGGTAAATTATTTTATAAAACCTAACAGTAAACAAGATAAATATTAAATAAATTTATGGCATGCAGCTGCATTCCCATTTCACACAGAAAATACAAGTACTGGTGGTGGTAGTAATAAAGTAGGCCTACACCATGTCATGTAGAATCATTAATTTCAAACAATTTCAATGAGTAAGTAGACGACATAGAAAAATAAAATTTATAATTTCTCTGCAATATATACTATTCAAAAAAAGTAGGGGATATTTGATTTTTAAGTGTTATTAAAGTCACCTAATGAAACTGACAAAGAAACAAATGACAAAATGAAATGAAGTTCACATTCATCGATTTATTCCAAATGATCGTTAGACTAAGTAAGGCACAGACTGACCATTATAAGGGTAAAATGATACCCGGGGTCAAACAGCAAAGATACCACAGCATCACAACCAAGTCAGTAACGGGTAAATCCTCCTCTGTTTGCCAAACAAGCATTGATCCGACGTGGCATACTCCTAATGAGACGTCTAAGGTCATTTTGGTCCAGATTGTCCCATTCCTGTTGCAACGCAGCAGCAAGTTCTTGGACATTGGCAGGACGTTGTTGACGTTGACGTAACCTCTGTCCAAGCATGTCCCAGACATGCTCGATGGGGGAGAGGTCGGTACTCAGTGCTGGCCAAGGTAATGTGGTGATGTTCTGTTGTTGGAGGTAACCTGTAACGATCCTGGCCCTGTGACATCTTGCGTTGTCATCCTGGAAGATGAAACGGCAGCCATGACGTCGTGCGAACGGCACAACATGGACTGCCAAGATGTTGTCCCGGTAGTACTGGCCTGTAACACGCCCTGCAACAACATGTAAAGCCGTTCTTCCAGCAACAGTGATGCCTCCCCACACCATAACAGAACCACCCCCAAATCGATCATGTCTGATGACGTTAACGTCTTGGAAGCGCTCGTTTCGACGACGCCACACCCTCCTACGTCTGTCCAAAAAATCAACAGTGAACCTTGACTCATCTGAAAACATCACATTGCTCCAGCGTCGATTATCCCAGTGTTGACGATCCCTACACCAACGACGTCTTGCCTGAATGTGATGATCTCTCAAACAAGGGATCACGCGAGGACGTCGGGCGCGAAGGTGACCCCTATGCAGTCGATTCCGAATCGTCTGGCCACTCACTCTCACACCAGTGTCTGTTTGAAGACGAGCGCTGATCTGATTTGCTGTGATGACACGATTTCTCAAGGCCAAGGTACGGATAAATCGATCCTGGGCTTGAGTTGTCGCCTTTGGTCGACCTGAGCGTGGTCTGTCCTGTACAGATTGTGTATCACGGTATCTGGACCATAGCCTGCTTATGACAGACTGAGAAACATTCATCGTCCGCGCCACAACCGCCTGTGTTGTGCCGATCTGTAGCATGCCAAGGGCACGTAACCTTTCATTTTGGGTAAGCCGACGCATATCAAAATTTGTTTTCTGGTCACTAAAACAATTAAACTGATGTTTCCACCCTGGAATTCAATGCCACAATGACTGTAACATTCAAAGTCAGAGTCGTGCAAATCTTGGGTTGGACCCCCATGATGATACCAAGCATCACCTGCATTCCATGCGGTAGCTATTGGTGCGTTTGGGCGTCACATGTAACTGGAAATGTTTCTTCTGTTAGGTTCTATAGTGACTTTTTTCGTAGTCATTTGCATATTTTAGTATTATGCCCCCAAAATCAAATATCCCCTACTTTTTTTGAATAGTATATATCGCGATATGCAATGCCAAAATGATACCATACATATTGATGTATCGTCCCACCACTACTCAATTTTGATATATCTTCAATTCACCAACTTGAGCAGTAACTTATTCAGTTAAATTAATATTTATATTTCTCGGGAAGGAAGTTTGTGTTTTATAGTCTTCTTTAGCTCTAAATTAAAGCCATTATTTTATATTTGGATGTGTCTTTCACCATGTTCTGTATTTAATCCACTACCTGTAAACTGTATATAGATAATTTATATTATGACAAGTACAGGTTTTCTAAGAATATATTATTGATTAAAATTGTCTATGTAATAATGTTAACTAGGTGTACCGGTAGATTATGTTTCAGTTTCACTAAGGACAAATCAAATAACTAATATTATATGGATGAAGTTAATTCAATTTAAAGATACATTATGGGAGATTTTAATAGAGAGTTAGCCATTCTTGCTATAACAGTTCTAAAAATAGATGATGAAAGAAGAATATATTGAAAATTTCAGTCAAATTACTTTATTCTGAACAAAGTTATCACCATTGTAATTTTTGACTAGAAATAGGAGTCAACTCTCTCTTCACCGTCTCCGAGAATGGCCGATCGTTTGATTGACAGGCGTTAACTCCACCTACATAATCTTGATTATCAAGTAACGTTTTCAATGGCTGTGGTACTGTTAGCCTATTCAGTTTGAGGCTGGGTTGCAATTCAATTCGTATCACATTTATTTTTACTACAAATTAAAAATAAGACTTTTAATATATAGATAAGGTTGAAAGGAATGGACCAAATCAATGAGGCATAATTATAGCCGACGTCTTGTTAGCCTACGTGTACTGTAACCGGTAGGCCTACGTAACTCCCGAAGCAGACAAATAGGAAACAGTGATCCAATGGGACTGCAATTCAACTGGGGTGATGTTAGCTGCGATGTTTATCAATTTCCATAATTTTTCTGTAACGCAAGTGACAAAAGAGCGTATAATACCGACATCCAAACTCTCATTTTAACCACAACTAAACATAATATCAAGGCCGTATATATCTATCGAACTTTCAATCAAATTGACTGACATGTGGACTCGCTCAACAGCGGCCTTGCTTCGTACACTCTATCATTTAGCCTCAATCTAAAATTTCCGGGAGTATGACGTCAACGTAACGGTTAATCTCCGCTTACGACGCCATTTAAAAGTTTAATCAATCAATGAAATCCTGTTTAAATCCAAGCCGAATCCAAGCCAACCGTGGGTCTACAGAGTTGATTTTGTGCTTGTTGTGTAAATAAAGATCTAATATAATTTCTATGACATCTGAAGCCTAAATAAAGACTTGCAATAATCAGATTTAGCTCTTGCATAATGTATGTTTAATACATTTTTTTTTTCTCACATCCATGCGATATATAATTAGTTTACATCATCTGAAATCACATTTTTCACAGTACTAATCATAAATATATAGGTTTACAGTAAAATATTGTTGACATTAAGCTAAAACAGTTTACAGAAACCCAATAACTATATGAGACATGACTTGTCCAGGTTTATGGTAATAACTAACCATCTAAACAGTATGCATCATTAACATACAATTTCTACATATTTATAGAATTGATTTTCCTCTTTAATGTGCTAAAATCTATCTTCCCATTCATATAATGTATAATCCATTATTCACAATTGACTTTATATTGTATATTGTTTGAACGGCATTTATTAATTAACAAATAAAGATAACTATGGAATAACAATTACTTAGCTTTTATTACAGCAACATTTCAACTAGGATTCTATACTCTTCATATCTACCCACACTGGGATTCGAATCTGGCCTTGAAAATTCATGCATGTTCTTTCGTGATGTTTGCTTGAAAAGAAACCCAAGACATTGTAGTAATTACCTGATGAAGAATAGAGAATCCTAATTGAAAAATCACTGTAATTGTTAATCCATATAGTTATTTTTATTTATTTAACTTTATACCACCAGTCAGTTAACATGCTCTGTACATGTGGAGTGTTTACTCTCCAAAATTTGAAAATATATGTATTAAAATAATTGACACTATCAATATTAAATTGTTAATGGGTGCATCCACTGTCTTTTGAATGATACCTGTCTCTGCTTGTTCAAATAATTAAATACACATGAAATATGTTCTTTAAATGGCATTTAGTAACTGGATAGAGTAACAACAAAACACATACTTATGGAAAACAGCTACTGGTGTATTTAAGGCGACGTTTCGTAGAGTATTCTCTCAACGTTATCAAGCTCCTTAAATACACCAGTAGCTGTTTTCCATAAGTGTGTTTTGTTGTTACACATGAAATAGTCATGTAAATGTAATATTTTTTCCAAGAAGCTTTTGTCTATTGATAAAATCTAGGATTTTTATTATACATACTTTTGTGAAATCTGTTTATTTCTATATTTCTAGAACCATAGAAGATTTATATGAAGAATTAGTAACCCAGGGTATAATAGTTCGTTCACCAGTTACTACTTTACAAGATTATACTGGAGAATATAGTTATTTAGGTACCACATTAAGACAAGCTAATATAGAACCTATGCCCTCACTTAGTGATGTCAGAAGACTTGTCACAGAATTTGGCATTCTACACTTAGGTAAAATATTTCTTATTAACTTTACTATTTTCACAGGATAATTTACTGTGACCTACAAACATTTTCACGTTCCGCAGGCCAAAATCTTATTTACACTCTACAGTCTAGAGATTTGTTAATTAAAATAAAAAAAATATAAATTTTCTCCCACCTAAAATTTATATTTTCTGAAATGAAAGGCAAATATTAAAATCGATCAACTTTAGCATAAATTATGGTCTTCTAAAGCTCTTATAGCTTTATACAACCCTTTTTGTTGTCTTGGAATCATCTTTCAACTACTCAAGGCTAATTCGTCATTTTAGTTGATCGTATCAAACTTAAGTTTTCTTGTGCATTATATAAAATGGTTTTAAGAGATCAGACGCTGCACACTTTGATTATTGTCCATGACATTAAATGTTTATTTTCAAGGTTCATCTGCTGTACATGAGAAAGCTCCTTTAACTAAATCTATTGTATTAGCTGGACCTAGAGGTACTGGTAAAAAGATGTTAGTACATTCTATCTGTACAGAAACTGGTGCCAATCTCTTTGATTTAAGTGCTACAAATATAGCTGGTAAATATCCTGGTAAAGATGGTCTTAAGATGTTGATGCACCTTGTATTTAAGGTAAGACTTATTGGTATACTGTTAAGTCAATACACAAATTAAAGATACATTATGGGAGATTCGATAACGAGTTGGCAGTTCTCACTATAATAATTAAAAACTAGATAACGTAAAGGCAATTTGCTGAAAATTTCATTTGAATTGATCCACTATGAACCGAGAACTAAGCGAATGCAATTTCTGCCTAGCCTCGGTCATCATTACTATAGTCAGTACGATAAACAGCATAGTCTCGATTATCCATTTAATCGTTTAATCGAGAAGGAAAGTTATGCAGTAAATCGGCTCACAATTCACTTAAGATCGCAGGCTAGCGATGCCATCTAGAGTTAATTATGGTCTGGATAAGTTAATTAATGTCTAATTATTAATATAGATAACATTTCAGGCCTAAAGAAAGACCTGTAATAGACAGATTCAGCTCTTGCATAATATATGTTTAATTTTAAACAATAATGGGTAAATCATAGTTAATGAAACTCCACTTGTTTTATTTGGTATATTTTAATAAATTTAATGAATCTTGTTATTAATGCAGAATTTTTACTGCAGCTATATATTATATGATATTATATAGTAGACTTCCATTGGCAAGCACACTGTGTTTGCCAACCAATCAGCTTTTAAAACAAAAATATCTGCTAATGAATACAGGGGGTTACCCATATTTGGAAGATGGGTATGGGTCATGTATTGTATAAAATTTAAATCAACTGTAGTGCAAGCAAATAAGTCTCTATCTAGTCACCTCCCAAATCTTCCTATTCCATGAACATTATATAATAATTTTTTTGTTTCATTTCTATGCAAAACAAGAATATCTCTACATGTTTATCTAACCTATGGAATAACAAATCACCATTACCCGAAACATATTGAGTTGTGGACAATAAAAATTCTTTTCTCATAATTCACATCTTCTTGAATAGATTGTAACATAATTTACTGTCTGGATTTACAGTGGTATTGAATATGGTTAATCCATGTTAAATGAAGATGTCTGAACTATTGGCTTTATTTTCAGTCATATGTCCCATGTGCCTCACTAGTTTACTGTGAATTGCCTGGAATTGATTATTGTTGTTGTAGTTGGGAAGGTATTAATTAATGTGGGATTAAACCGTCTGTTCTTATCTATATCAATATATAGAACCTGAGACAACAAGTACAGAATCCATCATTCTTATTACTAATAGTACAAATCCTTGACCAGGTTCTTCTGTCTGTCCAAGTTGTTACTGATTACAAAGTCCTTGACCATATTCTCTCCTGGCAGGAAAGTTGGATGTTAATTATTTTCCAGTCTTAAATTGCATTTTTCTCCCAACAATTGCCAGGTTGGGTCTGAGTAATAATTATTTTGTAATCTGAAAAGTAGAGTGTCTTGAAGGATAGGTTGATTTAGTAGTTAGTGATTTATGCTCTATTTAATTTATTTCTTTTACAATTTCTAGGTGGGTCGAGCTCTTCAACCATCAGTGATTTTTGTGGGTGATTGTGAAAGAATGTTTAAAAAGAAAGTACCAAAAACTGATCCAGTAAGATATTATTGTCTAGAAATTTAATGTAATAAACAGAGAAGGATTTTTGAAAGTGCAGGGCTGTAAGCAAGACTCCTCCTTATGGCCCCATAAAAATATTTTATATTTTTATTTTTGAAATATGATTTTATGTATTCAAGTTGATGGAAATTTTGTACACTTTAAAGAAGTTGTGAATGTGTCTAATAATGTATGGTATGGATAAGCCTGTTTCTTTCACCATCTTATCTTACAAAAAGAAAATGTTAAAATTCATCTACGAGCTGAATAACTTTTAAAAAGAACAAATGAATATATAAGAAATACAATAGGGTTAATTAGTATTTCCTGTGTTGTAGACAGATCCTAAAAGATTAAAGAAAGAATTACCTAAAGCTCTAAAGAATATTAAAGGAGAAGATCGTCTGCTATTGGTCGGTACATCCAGATGTCCATTTGATGCTGAAATGAAACCGTTTGTTGGTTGTTATCAGAGAATTATTCTAATACCCAGACCAGATTATGCCTCTAGACATTGTAAGTATAAGATTCTATATGATGAGAAAGTCTTATTGATTGTATATTTTACAATTGACGTCACTGAAATTTGAACTTTATATTAGTTGATCAATTTGGAAACTGTGTTTAGTTCTGTATTAAATCATGTGAATGTACAACATTAGTTAATTATAACTCGATATATTGACATGTAGACTAGTAGGCAGAATATTTACTCTCTAAACTTTAGAGTCTAAAATATACCACATACTATAACATTTTGTTTTTATATTTTAGAATTCCACATTATCTTTATAAATACAATTCAGTGAACATACAGAAGTTTTATCATTGTTTAACACAATATCATTAAATCAACAACTTAACTTATTGAGTTCTTTCCCAATGAATTGTTGGGTTTCATCCTTAGTTTTTTGTAGTATTGCTCTTGAAAAATTATTTCCGTGTCTGTAAGCTTATTTAACGAGACTGAAGATTAAACTTTCTGAAAGTCAAATGAATACTTGTTAAAACAGAGTGTAATTTAATGGATAATGTTACATTGCTGTGTTATACCATCTCTCTGATTTCTGCAGCAAAAGATTCTATTGACAATTCCCTGTTATTGATTCTGTGTTCTTCTGTCAGATTTTTTGTTCATGTTGTTGTGTGTATTGTTGTCCACCTGAATTTACAACATTTATATTTAATTTGGTAAAAGGTCAAAACGTATTGTTATCAGGATTTTTAACTATTAATTTATGGTATGGTACCTTTTCCTTTATAGTACTATGGCGCCATTTGATCACTAAATTTGGTGGAACTCTTTCTAACCTGATTGACATCAGCTCTTTATCAAAAGTTACCGATGGTTATACTCCTGGTCACATGGTTACAGCTATTCAACAAGTGTTGACAGAACGTCGAATACAGCAGCTATCTAAGAAACCTCTTCAATCAGTTGAATTTATAGCACCACTTGCTAGAATAGATCCAATTTATAAAGAAGAAGAAGAATCATTTAAGGTAATATTTACGTCTGGTCAAATTTCTCTGCTTCCATTCAATATTATTTCTACCCTCTAACGGTTAAACATTTATTTTTATGTTTTCAATTTGAGATCATGCTGTGATACAGAAATAAGATGAAAGGTACCTTTGGCAGGGTTTATGATTATTCAATGTACTGTAAAATATATATTTCACATCTGATAAACCCACAGAACAGGAATTAAAAGAACTTAAATTGATGGTATTACAAGTGCTTATATGAGCCTATTGGTTCCATATCTCCAACATCCAAAAACAAATTTTTGTGATTTTTTAAATTAAAATTTGTCTTTTTTAAATTAACAGGGATTGTTGATTATTTTTCATTGAGGTAGAACATAATCAGAATTCATAATTGTAAACTGCAGATTTATCTTTTTGATTGTGTTTATTATAGCTAGGCTAAACAAATTTACTGCTGGTGGGCCTAATCACTAATAAAATGTAACTTATTGAATAAAAAAAACTTTTCCATGCAGGTTTATTGAAATATCACTTTGTGTTATTTCTATTCAATTGATAAGTAAAGTTATAAAATAAAATGTTACAGGGTTGGTACAGTAAAACACCACTAGGTAAAAAACGAGCCAAGGCAGCACAAGCTGATGAGGATGATGGTGGTGGTGGTAAAGGTGGCAAAGGAAAGAAAGGAAAAAAAGGAAAGAAGGGCAAAAAAGGAAAAAAGAAGAAATAATATTTGGTTGATCAATAAAAGTTATTTGAAATTTTACATAATATCAGTAATAAAATAGAAACGGTTTACTTTACACTTTGGATACATTACACACAGCTGTGTTCACACATGGGATACATTACACATAGCTATGTTCACATATTGGATAAATTACATATAGCTGTGTTCACATTCACACATTGGATACATTACACAGTCATGTTCATACATAGGATACATTACATAATTACTATCTAATAAATAAAATGTGAGTATAATACAATATATGATTTAAATATTTGTTGAGTATTATTTATGTAGCTGTGATATTTTTTTATTTTGTATATAGATAATATATTTTATTATAATAAGAGTGTATATTTATATTAGATTTAAATAAATCACATTCCATAACAGTACCATAGTTTTTCTATTGTATCATGATAACAGTGAGAATTCAGTTCTAAAAATACTTTGTACTAGAAGAAATGATATTTGTACATACATCTCTAAGATTCTATTCTCTCTGTGTGTTGGACTTGGAGAAGTTATAACTAAAGGCACTGCGGGCTAAGGGGCAGGGGGCAATATCAAATATAGCAAATTTTACCAAATGCAATATAATCATTATTTACTCAAAATAATCATTGACTCACTGTAATACATGTAGAATTTGTGTATGAATTGTTATTTCTATAAATTATAACATGAAGGCAAATTCTCAAGTGATAGGCAGTGGTGACAAAAACTGGTGTTTTCACTGTATGATTTGAAAAAAGAATCAAAAGTATAGTCAATTTCTTTTAAGTAATTTTATAAAATCCTTAATCAATCCAAATAATTTGTCTATAATATATTGTATAACTGGTAAATTATTCAGCATGACTTGCATTATATTAAGTAACCATAAAATGATGAGATACTTGAAGGTCATTGTTTGGTTTGTCACTTGTTAACTTGTAAGGCTATTGTCTTTTAATCTAACTGATTAAATTGATTAACTGCAAATTGACACTTTTGATTACAATATACATCTTTTTAAAAATACACTTTTTAGGTTACGTGTCTAAAAAAGGGTCCTACATAAAAAGTATTAAAAGAAAAAGGTTAATGCCTTCTTATTATAATTTGTTAAATCTGATTTGTGTCAGACACACTTAATTTACTTCTTTGATGATATACAATTTGAGGCTTGTCATATTGGAAATAGTTATAGAAAGAGTGAGAGAGAAATGGGGATAACATCAACTCGATAAAACTAGGCCATTTCAAACCTAACATAAGGTTCAATTTTATTTCAATGATTTGTTTGCACTTATGGGTCTTTAGTAGTGGGAGCGAACCGGAGGACCTGGAGAAAACCCACGAGGTTGGACAGGTGACCCTACTCCTTGTCATGTACAACCAGGAAATCGAAACCACGCCAGTTGACTCAATGACAGACCTTATGATATCACGCGCACGTGCTAACCATTCAGCCATCCAACATCCCAGGAAATATTTATATGTACCATAAAATGTAATTAAAAAGTAATTGAACATTACATGATTTTTGGTATGTATTAATTACATTTCCATTATTCATTGTCCCCCGCCTTTCGAAGAAAGCAGGGGACTATTAAAATGGGTTCGTCCGTCTGTCCGTCTGTCTGTCTGTCCGTCACACTTTTTGGGACACAATAACTCTCTTCCTAATTGAGCTAGAATGTTCAAACTTGGTGTATGTGTTTATTAGGTCAATGCCTTGATGGAGTTCGAAGATGAGCATTTTCCGCTTAGGGTAAGCAGAGATAAGCAATTTGATTGGTTGATGCTTTGGGACACGATAACTCTCTTCCTAATTGGGCTAGAATGTTCAAACTTGGTGTATGTGTTGATTAGGTCAATGCCTTGATGGAGTTCGAAGATGAGCATTTTCCGCTTAGGGTAAGCAGAGATAAGCAATTTGATTGGTTGATGCTTTGGGACACGATAACTTTTAATTGAGCTAGAATGTTCAAACTTGGTGTATGTGTTTATTAGGTCAATGCCTTGATGGAGTTCGAAGATGAGCATTTTCCGCTTAGGGTAAGCAGAGATAAGCAATTTGATTGGTTGATACTTTGGGGCACGATAACTCTCTTCCTAATTGAGCTAGAATGTTCAAACTTGGTGTATGTGTTGATTAGGTCAATGCCTTGATGGAGTTCGAAGATGAGCATTTTCCGCTTAGGGTAAGCAGAGATAAGCAATTTGATTGGTTGATGCTTTGGGACACGATAACTTTAGTTCTAATTAAGTGAGATTGATGAAACTTGGTGTATAGATTTATTATATGAATACCTTAACTAAGTTCGATAATGAACATTTTTTGCTGAGGGTAAGCAGAGTGATAAGCAATTTGATTGGTAGAAACTTTGGAACACAATAACTTTCCTTCTAATTGAGGTAGAATGTTCAAACTTGGCATAGGTGTCTATTAGGTGAATGTTTAAACTTGATGTATATGTAGATGTTCATTAGGTGAATGTCTTGACTGAGTTCAATAATTAACATTTCGAGCTGAAGCTAAGCAGAGCTAATCGATTTCATTTGTCAATGGTTTGGGACAAGATAATCTTGATTCTATCTGATAGAGAGTGATGAAACTTAGTGAAAAAAATAAATGTGCGATTAATTAATATGTGTCATCTATTTATTTTGCAATTTCGGCGGGGGACATCAGCCTCACTGTTGGCTTGTTACTTTTGAAATCTTCCATTACATGGCCATTACCTAAAAATGTAATGAATACATTCCATTGCCATTACCCCAGCCCTGCTAGTGATGTTATTTACTTTTCTCTTTATTTTTCCTTTTTCACTAAAGACAGGAATAAATACAGTATTTGTATGTTTCATCAAAATAAAGTCAGGAATAAATAAAGTATGTTTCAATCAAAATAAAATCAGAAATAAATACAGTACTTGTATGTTTCAATCAAAATAAAGTTGGGGAATAATTACATATGTTTCAATCAAAATAAAGTCCGGGGAATAAATACAGTATTTGTATGTTTCAATCAAAATAAAGTTGACGAATAAATACAATCTTAAATTATATGGTGCAACATGAGGAATTAAACATCAATGGTAACTTGGCATAAAGATTTTAAAAAAATATGGAAAAAGGGAGGGGTGTGATCAGTTTCTGGCAATTTGGATGAATTTTCCATTATTTTTTTGCATCTATTTTACATTGTGCAAAACGTTTTCTTGATTTTCTAGTGAAGTGATAAGTAAAGATAAAACCTTTTATAACTAAATCTATACATACCTCAACAACAGCTAAGATCACTTCACTAGAAAATCAAGACTTTTTTCAAACATTTCTATTCAAGATATAAGAAATATTGATTCACAGGAAAAACACAAATTTAATTTTTACATTTATTCTTTAATTAATGTGCCTAGGCTTGTTTTAATTAGCTTCAAAACAACAGTCTTCATCATTACTAAGTTATTCATTATTTATATAAACTCATTATAACTTACTACTTTATTATTTATATAAAAACAAATCTTAGCAAGTAGGTTTGAATACAAGAAAAATTGAAAACCAGACATAGCATGGAATAAATGAATATGAAATAAGATTTCTATTTTAATTGGACAAAACATGTCCCAACATGCCAGGATAAGGGTTGAAGATAGAGTTTGTGAGATACATGTGTCTGAACCAGGGGGTTTCGCGTTCGCTCCAAGGGGGGAATCCCACATCACCCACTCGCAGATATTGGATAGTTGACTCTCTTTGATGAGTTTAATACAGTCATAAAACTAGGCGTACGAGCTGCCCCCCCCCCCCAACTTACGGACAATCTGACTTTTCGGGCAGACGGATAAAGTGAGAGAAAAAAAACAATTATTCTATCTAGTTGGCAAAAATAAAGTGCCCGAAATCTAATAAAACACTAATTTTACTTTTCTTTTAATTGAATACTACGAATTTGTACTGAACTGACATGGATTAAAACATTTTGTCTGGAGCCACTTTACTTTGTGCGACATTTTTTGGGCATCGATTATTATTTGTGAATGCAGCTGCAACAGTCTGAATAGATGGTTGGAATTCAGGTCGGCATAGAGTGAGATTTCGGTTACAAAATCATTGGACAACTTTGGGGTTGCTTATAACTCACGGGCTAGAATAGCAGAAAAACGCATTTTCGGACGTTAAAGTTTCTCCAGGAGGCGAGGCCCCATGTACCCTGCCACGACTGATTGGTTGTTTGGGATTCAGGTCAGCGACCTAAGGTAGGCTATATTGGACCACATAGACGTGTACCCTGCCACGACTGATTGGTTGTTTGGGATTCAGGTCAGCGACCTAAGGTAGCTATATTGGACCACATAGACGTTGCTGTATTCACGGGCAGGTAAATTTTCCCCGGACGGTTCCATCTCCGTGGACTGTAAACGGGCTCTGCCCCCGCCCCCTTAACTGTCATCCAGCTCATATGCCTATGGATACAGTTCAACATGAAACTGACAGGTGGTCAACATTCACCGTGTGATTATTTCTCATAAGTATAAATGCGTAAATCGTTTGAAGACATTTCAAATTCGCACGTGCACTTAAATCGGAAAAGCGCATCCAAACATTTATGAAGTATTATGGCATTCTACACGAAAACAAAAGACAATTGAAATCCAAGCATTACAATATTTCAGTGGCCATGCATGCAGCGCCAACCACCTAAAAAGATGAAATATACAGATCTCAACCGAAAGATTGAGCCTTTTGTTTTTGGTCACTCAAGCCTTTAAGGCCGATCAATCTTTGTCCACCAAAATCTGGCGAGTCAGCGATCTGGGAATGAACGGCTCTAGGTATGGTAATACGCCGGCTCGCTAATTATTACATAATAAAAGTCTTTATAATTAATATAAGTAAGCTAAACATTGTTCACTTTTGACATAATATTTAATTATTTAACTTTAAACAGACACCAGAGAAGAAAATATATTTGCGAGTGGCGACAGACTTCCCAGATTCCCCACCAGATACATTATTCGCGAAGATTGACAACGTATTGAGAAATTCATTCAGGAGCTCATTACTATAGTAATTCATCTACTGCCGACCACGTGCTACACGCACTACGATTTTTCCCGCCAATTCCACGAATGCCTGCTAGTTTGAAGGTGATCGATAAAGATCGGAGCCACGGTTCGTTGTACAACAACAGACGACCCGAGTGAGCGCTAAGAATGACAATGACTAGTAGTAGTGGCGTTATTTGACACAAGCCGTTTAACGAGCGAGGTTGTGATGTCCAACATGGCTAAAGTAGGCAGCAGTCCTGGCCTTGCCCGGCCCAACAAACTCTATGACTCGGATGACGAAAAACTGGATTTGAAATTGGACAGTATCAGGGCAAAAACTCAAACGCCCGTATTTATTTATGTGCTAACATTTTTTGCTGCACTGGGAGGGTTTCTGTTCGGTTACGACACGGGTGTGATATCTGGAGCTATGATATTATTGAGAAACACCTATAATTTATCATCCGTTTGGCAAGAAGCTGTGGTCAGTGTGACAATAGGTGCCGCTGCCATTTTTGCGTTAATTGGAGGTTACCTAAATGACAAGATGGGCAGACGACCTGTTATTATGGTTGCTAGTTTAATATTTACTGTAGGTTCAATAAGTATGGCTTTAGCTAAAGACAAGTTTACATTATTGTCTGGAAGAATTGTTGTTGGAGCTGGTATAGGTAAGTCTCTTTATATTCTATAACATAAATCATTAGGCTACCTTTAACATCAATCTAAACTTAACTAGAAACCATGATCTACCAAAAATATAGAATGACAAAGGTGTGCAGTGGCCCTCTCAAAAAGTGGTGCTGAAGATGTTTAAGCAATATGAACATACAAGTTGGTCAAAATATGTTGGTGTAGTGTTCCTCATGCAGACTGCAGTAGAAAATACTTCCAAAATTATTTGTTCCTTGCTCTGCTTGGCAGTATTCTGTTTCAGTTTTTTTTTTCATTGTATACATAACAACCTGCCCCCATTCACCATTGTTAGAAACATTCTTACTGGGTACACACCTATGTATGGGAAGAAATACGAACTCCTGTTGTAACATAAATCCATTCTTATACCAGTTCATATATCTAATACCAAATGGTATGGGGGCTGCGATAGATCAGTGAGTTAAACGATGGCTCGCTAAGCTGGAGGTCCAGTGTTCAATCCTGGTGTTCATCAATATTTTGCAGCGTGGTTCCACCCTTTACAGTGGTGCAGGATGGATGGCCTGGTAAGAAGGGACAGTGTCTTGTCAATTGGATGGGATAAAAAAAAAAAAAACTGAGGTCCCATGTACACATTGTCTTGAATGTTAAAGAACCCTTGACAGTTGGAATTCTAAATAAGAGTAGACCATAGTGCTGTTTTTGGGGGAAAGTTTCCTCATAGCTCACTGTATGGTATACGATAAAGCCTGTTTCATTCATTTCTAATCCATATGAAACTAATATTCTAAGTTTAAATTTCACAGAGAAATATTGTATCGTATTTCATATACATGTATAATTCTAAACAACTATTGAACTAAAAATAACAAATTAGTTAATGTTAGGGTGGCCTGGATGACAAGGCTGCTGTGTTTTGTATTTGGCTTAGTGCCATATTTTGGGCCATGATCCCACCCCCATTTTTTGGTGTTGGGGGTACGTTTGTATTTAACTCCCCAAAACTTTACCCCGCTTTAAATATAGTTACAAGTAAATTGGTTAGTTTTTGTAACATGCATGTGAAAAAAAGAGGAACATTCAATTTCAAAAATTTGGTTTATTTTTCTATTTCGACAGCTCTGCTAACTTTAATTTGTGATAGTAGTCTTTGGTGAAGGCACTGATTAGAAGTTACTTGTCTTCTATAAGAAAAGATGGTCAGATTTGTTCTCTCTAATTTATTATCTTGTGATAATAAAGTTTTCAATTTAATCATGATGATTGCCAATCAATGAATGACGGCTACTTTATTGTCATCTATACTTGATCAATGCCAGTTTCAATGAACAGCTTTACAGATGATGAAAAATTTAAAATTCATGGTATTTCTCTAGTATTTATATTAATTTGCTGTAGTTTGATAAACAACTTCTTTCAATCAACAAAGACAAGTTTTTGTCATTCCTTTTTTTAACCAGTTAATGGATTTCAACAAATAATTTGGAATGTGTTATTGACTGAGAGACAATTAAATGAAATTGGATTGCTTTCATGGATTTTTCATGTATCTTAAATTGGTTTTTGTCCAACTAAATGTCCATTGAGAGAACTTTAAAAGTCTGCTTGTACTTTAATAGAAAGTGGAGGAGGACTACACCACATACAAGAATTTTTGAAAAGGCACAAAATGAAAACATGGCAGACTCTGACCAGACAGAACACAAACATGATAAGCCATGAAACCATCAATGAAGTATCAAATCATGGTGAATGGATTATGGAGCCATAAATGTTTATTGAGCTGTTCAGTTCCAGGTCTGTATATGACATCTGACTTTAGATTGGGCCAGTTTGATCCATCATTACTGGAGTCGTTCACTGGGTTGGGGTGACCTAATCTGAACCAAACCGCATTACATAAACTTCAAATCTAAAACTATCTAAATAAGATGCAAGGTTCCCACCTAAAACGAAAATTGTAATTTGAAAACTAAATAATATACAAGATTAAATACAGAAAGAATATAGAGTGCAAGTTGTGATGAATAAGGATATATTTGCTAGGAAGCAAATTCAGATCTAAGTTGGCCTTTATTGTCACTCCGAAAGCATTTGACCCCAAATACGAATTGTAAGATTTTGATAACTTTGATTAGTTCCGAAAGGAATTTTAACAGTTTGGTGCAGATGATTTACAAATCTGATCAGAAATCCAGCAGTTCATGGGTCAGAATTGTGTTAGAGTTGGGTCAGAATTGTGTCAGAGTTAGGTTAGGATTGAACACCTCTAATTAATCACCATCCAAATCTTGATTTCTATCTTAAATAATTTGACTTGGAGTTTAATTTCACAATCTGAACCAGAAATAACATTCTGCCACATTAGTATCGATCAAGTTTATCCTGAATTTTAAAGAAGTGTAGATGGATGTTTTTTTCTCCAACCAAGGTTATAGGTTTCTACTGTCCATGAAGTTTTTCATTCAAAATTTGTTGTTGTATAATATATAGATAAGAAGATTTGCAAGCGTTAGAATTTCTTTTTAGGTTAAGTGAATAATGTTCTGCTATACAATAAATATGGCTATTATTTGAATGATTCACCCTTAGGTTAGGATAATATACAGTAAGAGATTTTGAGAAGATAATTGCCTTTTTTCTGGTTTAATGATAACTTGTGTAAAGCAGTCAGACAGATAATAATATATGTTGTATGTATGAATACAGTTTATTGGATCTGAGTTTCAAAAATGATTTTAGTATGTAAACCATGAGGTTCATTATGGAACCAAGATTAGGCAAATTGTCTTCGACTGATATCCTGAAAGGCATATTGATATAAAAGCGGGGCTGAATATGTTTTATAATCGTGTCACTCAATCAATGATTCTATAATTCTTCAACTAACTTCATTGATTTTAGCCGTTCCTCATTACTTCATCGACTTCAGAATCAATAAGGTTTTTTTTCTTGATGTACATCAAGTTAATACTTGACGGAGCTAGTTCTAACTCTTCAGTTATTGACAGTACCAGTATTCTAAATTATATATTACCAGTATTCTAAATTATATAGAAATATATACTTGATGGAGTTGGTTATTGACAGTACCAGTGTCCTAGATTACATAGAAATATCTGATATCAAGAAGAATTTTAAGTCATAAGCTGTTAAATCTTGAGTTAATGAAAGGTCATAGGTCATTGTAGAGGGATATAATTTTACCAGCTATATTGTTGCTGCAGGACCAAGTAATGTGTGCTTGTACAATTTTACAACAATTGGGCGTGGGATGTGGGAGCACACACCAGTTCTATTGCCAAAAAAAGAAATTCTATATAAATTATATGGTTGTAAGAGAACAGGTGCTTGTCACTATCATATTTTGGATATTAGTTTTACAGGACTTTTATTAATGCCAAAAAGTATAAAAAAATTTTAAAATAATGCATTTTTTAAATTTTTCTTTATAAATTCCTAATAACATGTGGTGTTGCCAATAAGTGTAACTGAAAAAGTAAAAAAAAAAAAAAAATTATAAACATTTGAGCAATAGATTTCACACTTTGCTATTCATTTAACATTAAATCAAAATAAAATAGAATATATTGATATATTAAACTAGAATTCCTAGACCTATTATATTGCTACTGATAACAGAATATCATGTCTATGAATGGACTTTTGATAATACCTAAATGGTTTCTGTATTTTCACATAGATGAATTTTTCAAGAAAGAAGTCTAAGCCTATGTAATTTCCAATATTTCAAAGTTGTCTTAATGATCACAATTTGAATTTTTAAGCTTTTGAACATGATGCAAGACAAAGTTCTCAATAGAATATTTTAAAACTTGGTGAAACAATTCATTAAGTATAAGGAGAAAATTTACAAAATTTGTAAAGTTCAGAGCTCTCTTTGATTTTATGTTTGGTTGGACTATACTGTTGAGGTGATCGAGTATTTGTGGGTAATGCAAGCCACTGTCGATGATAATAATCAACCTGTATATCAAATTCTAAAAAGCTTTTTAAAGTCTAGATTATTCAGACTATCACCAGGATTATTTTACCAAGCTGTTATCTTAACCTACATCAGAAACTTACACTAGATAAATGCATTTTGAAGAAGAAAAATTGATTTTTGTAGAAGGATATTTCAGAAAGTTAGTTGGCTTTTTAAGGATTCCAACTGTCTGGATTCAATATTGATTCATATTGAACTGTGGATATGTTTTAATGCACATATAGTAGTGTAGGGCAGCTGTTTGATTGTCATCTGTAATACAGGTTAAATTTACCACATCCTTGTCTGTAGTGTTCAGTGATAGTTATATATACCAGGTTGTAATAAATCAACTACAAGGTAGTTATCAATGAATAGGTTATAATATACACTGTGATAATCATCTACATAGGGCCCCTGTGATGCTATTGATTTTACATGAGGAACAAGATCTCGGAGCGGCACAAAAATACAAATATTTCATATCATTAGTGCTCAGGTTGTCCAATAAAGTTTGGGAAATTGTGATTCAGTCCTTCCGCTTACCAGTTATTTCAATGCTCCCAACCGAAGAAAATGAGTTCCACACTGTTCCTCAAACCATAATTCAATGTAAATATAACCTTAATGTTCTGGAGGGCTATAGGAACTCATTGTATAACTGGCTATCTTGACTTTGTATCATTGATAGAAGGTTTCATCAATCATTTGATAGATTAATTGGCCATTATGTGATCAATAATATAATTTAGTTGATACTTTATATCCATTCTATATACTTCAGTTACCCTATAAGATGAAATTCAATAGCATAGTCTCCTTCAACCCATCTAGAAGTGATACTTAAATAGTTCAACAGAAATGGAAAAGGTCATTCCATCGCTGTCGGCCAATCTTAATGCGAAATTGATAAAACCCAAGAAATTGTTTTTTTTTAGAGATGTCTAAAAGAAATTCTTGATCTGGTATTGTGGTGAAATTAATTAAGATAATATTAAACTAATTAAAGTTATCTGAGCTAAGTTG